GGGACGAGAAGCGGGATCAATGCCTGGACCAGCCGCCCGTCTCGCTGGGAAGACAAACGACTTGGAGCGTCACTGAGCGGGTGAGGCTGAACGGATTGCCGGTCGGAAATGTTTGAGCGGAAGACGTGAAGCTGGCGGCGCCTGACGAGACTGTTTGGTGGAACGGAATCCGACCGATAACATACTAAACAGGTGATGTCTAGCGTGATGTCAACTTTGCTTTTCACTATAATTGTCTGGAAAAATGCGACCGAAGGTAAAGGCGTCATGCTCGAGTCATACAGTTTCGGGCGTGTCAAAGTGGAAGCTATATTTCCCTCTTCGTTCGCTGCCAAAAAGAAACGGGGCCATCAAAACAAGCTCATTTCACGCCTTTGTCGACGCATCATCCGGAAGACCGCCACTCTAAGCTTTCCGAAAGCCCTGCCCTTTGGTAATAAAACCCAGCTTACCCGCGCCAACACCATATCAGAATCACGATCGATTCGAGCCAAGCCAACGCGGATAATTAATTTTCGTGCCGTAAATCTCAATTGTGTAGTGGCCTTCTGGCGGTTGTTCGCCCGCCTCCACCCGGTGCACAGGCGGCCAAACGGCTGCGAACAGACGGTCTTTCACTGCCGCCGACAGCTGTGTGCACACGAAAACACCCGCCGAATGTGAGTCAGGGTGGCGGCGAGCAGTGCGCGGTGCCACGCACTACCTGAAAGAACGACGAAGAGTCGGTCTAGGGCGCCGCCGAGTCATCGGCCATCAGTGACGTCATGGAGGAGCCATTGGAGAGTGACGCACCAAAGATGGCGGCAGAGGAGCTTGCTGACAGTGTGCAAAGCAAGAAGGAGGAGACGGAGTAAGTCTTCCGTGAGCTTGTGGTGTCACATACCCGCCAACAGAGGCGGATACTGGCTTCCATTTGTCAACTTTTCGCCAGATGCTGCGCGAACTTTGCGAGGACGTGCCGTCGACTGCTGCTCACCACTGACCCGTCTTTCTGTTGCTCCAAGTCGTATTGATTCCAGTTCTAAGTCGTGAGTTGGAGGAATCCGTATCCTGGCTACCATAATGCGGTCATGGGTCAAAAACAGAAGTAGCTAATAGGACATCTGGTTCGGGTTCGCGGGATTGATATCGATCTCGATGATTAGCTTCACCCATTTTGTGCTGTGATCTCGATTAAAAAGAAAACTTTCTTACGAAATTTTGCGTTTATAACATGAGGACTTCTAGCCTAAACTTTCTAAGGTAATCAATCTTCCAGCTCCAGCAACAGCCGGGTAAGGTGAGGAGCGCTGTGCCGCGTGAGCAGTGGGTAAGGTGAGGAGCGCTGTACCGCGTGAGCATTGGGCAAGGTGAGGAACGCTGTGCCGTGAGCATTGGGTAAGGTGAGGAGCGCTGTACTGCGTAAGCATTGGTCAAGGCGAGAAGCGCTGTGCTGCTTAGGTGTCGGGCCAACCGGTGTAATGTTCGTTTCAAGGAGAAGTTTTCATCCCCAGCTGTAAAAAACAAAGCGTTCCTTTGATTGAATGTACTTTTTGGTCTGGCGTTGTGTGGTGAGAAGGGGGCGGGAACCAACGTAACGTAAAGGGGGCATTTCCGGCAAAACCTTTTGCTTGACTTAACTTTCGGGTGCTGCAGCGCGATATGCATTGCATTTCTTTCATACCATGCCACACATACTGGAAACCTTTCGTTTTAACCTTATTGAGTGATAATCTCCGTACAGTTATCCACAAGCTCCGATACTTCGTCATTATTTCACGTGTTTGGGAAAAGTGGGACGGGTCGATTCGCTTTACCGGCGTGAAAACTTCATGTTAGACTCTACGCATGACAAGCTATTCTGAATGGTTCATGTCTTTGTCGTGGTGGACATAATATGCTGGGCAACGTCTGCTTTGGCGTGTTCACTTCACTTTAAAATTTAGACTGCTCTTTTGCTTCTCCGCCGATTACGCCAGTGACTGGAAGATAGCGGTAGTTCTTCTCCAATAACGTTAGTTATTAGTTATTGCGTTTTGGGAGCACGTTAGCTGCGATGAATAGTTTTCCGCCCTTTCTTCAGTAACATACCGTCACCGGCTGCAAAACCTGAGAGGTTTCAAGTGGCCATCGTACATAATGGACCCTCAGTAGGACTTCAAACAGAGAGCTTCAAGGGTGGCCCCCACGGCACCCTGATACCCAAGTGTCCTTAATTCCAAAGGTTGGTTCGCGTTAAGCTGAGACACTGATCTCAACTACACTAGACCCACGAGTGCAGCTTTGTTGCGCCTTCCGCTATCTATTTGAAGCCTGACAGCGCCGTGGAGATCTGATGTTTGTATTGGCACAGGATCACTGTTTTGACAAGTGTAGGATCGTAAAGAAGGCACTCGACTGCGGGGACGACTTTGCTGACACACTCTTCCAATGAGGGACAAATGGACGAGTTTTTGCGCAAAAGAGCTCATTGAAACGAAAACAAACGAAAACCAGGGAAAAAATGTGTCTTCGTACTGTGTTTTGGGAATTGCGCGAACGCGGACTGAAATGGAGGAGGCTTAAGTGAAGTGTTAAACGTGAATTTGTATCACTTCTCCACGACTTAAGATGCTAAACAACACCACGTTGAGATACCTTGTCGCTTGTCAAATAACGGGAGAGTTAATTATCCACAACCAGTCCTCATTCTAAGGGCACGGGAGAGTTACGATTGCTGGTCGTTAACGGCGATGGTGTCCCGCGTAGCTTGCATTTGGTTTTTGATGGCAAGTGACTTTACCTCACCTTTCCACCTCAGTTGGCACGTACATGAACCCACGAATGGCATTGTCCAATACATCATCCTTGCAGGGGCGCGAGAATAAGGAGGGGTGGGGGAGGGCGTATGAGAACAGCTTTCAGACGATGCACCCATGGGCGCTGACTTGAAAGAAGTTACCGAGCATGACTATTGGCCCACCCAACCTGGAAAACGGCCAGTGAAGCATGCGAAAACAACACCCAAACACGGACCGTGTGTGGGGTGTGTTTCCCTCATGTTTTTCCCGCGACCCATTAGACATCTGCCGTTTTCAGTTCTGGCTAGTTTAAGGGAACTGGTGCAACTAACCAATAAACCCAATTAATTTTCCGTAGTTTTGTGGACAACGAGACTTAGTAGGCCATGCATAAACCTTCAAAACTAGTGACTTTGAGAATAAGTATTGTTCCCGTAACGTAGCCGGCATGGAAAGTATTGAAGTAGGAGCTATTTAGTTCCTCTGCCTGCACTTCCAATACGGTTTCGATAGAGCCCTTTCAGCCCTGGGCTACAAAGAGGCCTCTGAAGGGTCTTTAGGTGTGCATCTTATGCGTTCTATCAAACGATAAGCTTTTCTTTTTTTAAGACTTTGCAATCTTCTTTACGTGATTTTTTTGCCGTTGGACTGAGCACTTATTTGGTGTTTGAAAAGTGACAAACGCTGTCGAAGAGCACTGTTCCCCACACCGTTCCGTGCTCACCGCTACACATGTGGACATGTGAACTCTGTACATGGTGACAATCGGTCCGTACGCGTGGCGGAGCGTCACACTGGCTCCGTCCGTGGTGCGTGTCCCACCAGGCTGACCCCGTGACTGTCCGCGGCGCCCGCAGGTCAGACGGTGGTGCTGGCGGCGCGGCGGCGGCCGGTGACGACCGGGCCGAACGGCCCGACCAGCCCCACCTGGCTGAGAAGGTGGCCCTGGTGCAGAAGACGCACGGCTTCCTCAGCACCATCCGGGTCAGAGGCACCTGTGGTCGGCACTGGCGCGGCGCGGGGCCGTCCGCTGCGTTCTCCCAGTCCCAGTACCCGTTTCCTTAGCGGGCTGGTCGGAGAGGGGCCCCTCGTGTTTTGCAGCGATACTTTCTATGCTTTCTATACTGCTATACTTGCTATACTTTCTTTCTTTGCTATACTTTCTTGCAGCTATACTTTCTATACTATTCTATACTTTCTATACTTTCTATGTCCTATCGTGATGCGCACCATGGAACCGGACGCTTTCGTCGTCGCCTTGCTTCAACTTAACAATTTCGACGCCTTTTCTGGCAGCCCTGCCCTCGGTGCGTGTGGTGTCGGGGGGGGGGGGGGATGGGCATGTCGGAGCAGCTACATGCAATTCGTCATGAGCTACTGCAGTTGTGGCGATTTCGTTTATCGCGCTTCTCTTTTGCATTTTGCTTCTGACATTACCCCTGCGTATTTTGTTTTGTTTCGTTTTCTACTCTTTTGTGGGTAAAGCAAATCAGGAGAATCTTTTTGACTTCTTACAAGTCTATTTGCGTCGGTCAGATTCCGAGATTCCGAGGAGCCCTTTGTAGAGGAAAGGGAAAGGGAAAGACCTCAAAGGAATCCAAGTGCCCAAGAGCCGCGCAGAAATAACGTCAGGAGCAGAATGAAGCACTGTTACTTATGAACGCTTGATTCTTTATCAGTAATCCTTTCATGCTCCCCGCCCCTCCTCCTCCTCCCCCTCCCAGCATGCCCTTGGCCCCCGTCAACTGGCAGATATATGTGCTCATAACACTAAGCCCACTTCACAGAATTCCCATGGACTGCGAAATTCGCTCTGGCATTCTGTTCTGCGCTCTCTTGTGCTCAGAACCAATTCACAATGATGACTTACAAGCAACTTTCAAAAGCTATTCCGTGGTCCGATTGCTCTCCATCGTATTAAGGAACCCTTTAAATGCAACAGATGACCTGAACTTCTCCCCGTGTTCACATGCCCCGACATTTGTCCTGCCTTAAGTGCGGCAAAGGTTGCGGCGCTCTGAACTCGGCGTCTGCCCCTCAGAATCGGTTCCAGAAGTCGCACAGCCGTGAGCACTCGGCCTCCCGAGATCAGCCGAACGGCACCTCCCGGACCGGCTCTGTACCAGGTGAGAGCCGGAGCACCAACAGTGTACCAGCTCTGGCCAGCCAGTGTACCGCTGGTACAGCAGTGTACCGCTGGCCAGGCCGTCGCAGTGGCGCGTCCAGCTACGCACAACGGCCGGCACTCGATGCGTGTTAGCCCCGAGTCCTGCGACCTCTGCTCTCAGACGTTTGCTTTCAGATGCCACGGTTCTCCTCTGGGTGGGCTCCTGTCCCCGGACGTGGGCGGCCCGATGGGCAGACGTTGATGTGAGACGGTCCAGTTCGGATCGAGGCTGTTTAGTCTGGTAATTAGACAAGCAGCATGCCTTACGATACACACACAACAGTTAGCGGAGGGTAGACTATTTCCTGGGTTCGTGGTGTTTAACCGTGCCTAGCACAAGAAAAACAGGTGTTCTGCGGCTGGCAGACAGCTCACAACGCTTGGTGCATCCTGAGAACATCTCACAACGCCACATGGTTTTGGGAAGCATCTGACAACGCTGGGTGTGCTCTAGAAAAATCTGCCAACCCTACGAATACTCTGAGAAACATCTCACAAGGCTGCATGTGCTCTGGGAATGTCCAGAATGTCGCAAGTCTGAGCACAGATGCGATGTTAACATTAGCGCGCTGGCAGCAATGGAATCGAACCCTCAACAACGCAGACATGTGATACGAGCATGCTTTGCGGTGGGCACCACGTTCTAAGTACCACGGCTGTCGACGGTGCTGCTGATGCGTTACGGCTGCGCGATTCATTTTGCGTACCTGCGCTTCAGGACCTGGCCGGTCCGTCCTGCCAGGCTTGGTCGATGGTGGCGACATCTATAGCGGTCCGTCTGCTGCCAGCATTTACAGCATGCGCTGGCCGAGGAGATCCAAATGTTAGCACGGACGGGTTGCGAACACGAACCGAGATCTCAGGGACATCAGCTCCGCCGCATATGACCTCATGGATAAAAGTGAAAATCTTCCCTTCTGTGGGGTAATGATTCTTTAAGATACTGCAAAAGGACGGGGGACACGAAATGAGCAGCAGGTACGCCGCATGGCGCTCTTTCGAGGGGCAGTCAAGACCAGAAGCGAATTAAGACGCAGCGCATGCGGCGGGGAGTCGAAGGATACCCGATGAGCCAGTAGCATCGGATGAGCTTCAACGTCTTTGGTTTGTGAGTATACAATCGATAGTTCCGAAGCACGAGACAGGGCCGGTGTCTTTGTTACCCTGATACTGGGAGGCAATAGGTGTCCTTGTTTCAACACGCGGGCATCAGATGTAAGCAAAATTTGGCTGTTGAAGAAAGGGATTTCCCTCATTAGCTCAGTCCCGCAGTCTTGCGTCGGGGCACTGTGTCAAATATTGACCCACCAATGAGTGACAGCTCAATTGTTTGCTTTCCAAAGTTTCCAAACAGAACTGGAGCCTTTTCAGACCCCGTAACATCATGTTACGGTTGTTAGCGTTCGTTCCTGTTTGGCCTCCCACGTCTGTTGCTTCATCCGGATTGCGTCGTAAAAGTTACGTGCTGGAAAGTTTGTTTAAAAAGTTGTGTTTGTCAGCTGTTTGTTGTAAGGCCTTGAAAGGTGAGACGGACCCGATACGGAGCCAAGTTTGTAGTCAGCCGGCCGTCCCTGTCAGTCTCGTCCTTACTGCTCTAAAGGATAGCGCCCCGGCGCTAATGCTCCGCCCCCCCCCCCCCCCCCCCCCCCGGCAGCTAGTCCGTTAACGCTGCTTGCATCCACTGTCAGACTGATAAGCGCATGAGCTGTGCCAACACATAACACTTGATAAAGGATGGGCGAGTGCATTGCGTTTTACTCCAGGTGTTTCAAAAGCAGTGAGCGAACTGCTTTCCTCATTTTTATGCAATCATTTTTCGTTCCAGTGTGTGTGGATGTGGCCTTATCCTCGAATCAAACTTTTTTAACAATGCGCCGTTGCAAACGCCATTCCAGGGGTCCATGAAACGTTCATATGCACCCCGGTCTCGTGTTGCATGAATTTGTCGTCATCCAACTTTCAGTGCAACTAGACAAGAGCTTTAAAGCTTTTATCTTTGTCTACATTTGTGATACAAGCTAAATGTGAATGTTATTGTGTGATTATGATGTTACTACCCTGTACTTGTCTAAACTTACAACTGAATTAAATCGTTGTATCCTTCATATTGACCCATAGCCGAAGGTGCCACAAAAAGTGACACCACAAAGGTGCCACACTGCAATCTGACACAGCAGTGGGCAGACGAATACCAAACGCCTAAAAGAAACCATTTGCGTCTGTATATTGTCATATTTGTCATCTTGCCATGCGATATTGTCATATTGTATGTTGCCTGTGTATTGCATATGTACTAAACCACACTCAACGGGAAGTACTTGCCAGGTCTTTGCTACTTGTGTAACCCAGATCTGGCTTGAAAAAAAAAATTGTGTAACTTTAATTGCAAAAGCTTCACATTATTGTGATAACAATGTACACTGTATTTTCCATGGCCCATGTATAGATCGTCCAATATGCAATGACGATGGAACACCAGGCCGCTATGGGCCTTCGTTCGTGGGTCTAACGTTACGTTCGTTCGTCGTTCCGCTGGAGGCAGTCATCAAGTGTCAGTTTAGATATGACGTGTTATTCTGAATCGATGGCTTTACTGTGAAACTTGCCCACAGGCTGTTGCAAGTTTTCTATCGACTTAAAAGCGGCCCATCACACCTGGAAAGTCAACTTCCATTTGTGACAAGAAGCGGTTTTTCCACTACTGTCGTGACGCATCAAACCTTGCCAGAAGGAGACATTGAAGATCAAGTTGCAACTGTGTCATGTGCTATGGATATACGCTCAGGATACCGCAGCGTTGCCAATGCATGTCCGAAAAATATCTCTCTTTGTCTCATGCAGATGGTGCAAACAGCTATCTCGATTATATATCAAGGCGCCAACGTAGCACGCAAGGAGGAGTCGAATGCGGGTGATCGTCGCCGATTTTGGCAGCTGCTGGTACAGATTAGCGTACTTTTCGTCCATCTTCATCTCGGCACGCGAGTGTCAGACTCATGGCTCGTCCAAGAATACATTCTAGCTTTGTAACGAAGCGGGCGGGCAACACCGCTATGCCGCTTGAGTGAAGTCTTTTGCTCCGATTAACTGCTACTCTACCACATTTTTATGTGCCAGGAAAGCAGTTTGCCTAGGGAATACGTTCGAGACATGTGACCGTGCGTATTCATAACTTACTTCATTCGAAATGAAGTGTCTATTTCGAGGCGATCCGCGCGTGAAATCGTAGCAAGCAGGTTTGACGGTACCAAGTATGCCGACTTCGCTGGTCAGACGACGATGTGGTGCTGGTAATGCTAGACCAAGCTGTTGATTAAGTCCAATGGCAAAACAAACATCATGCCCTATCCAGGCCGTACTTCTTCTCCTCACGCACGCATCCTGGCTAGGGTGCGTTTCACCCTTCACCCTGGCGCACGCACCCTTACCTGGGTGCAGGCGTCGGCGTCAGCTGATTTACAACGCCTCGCACTCCCGTGATCGCTGGCAAAGCAATGCCGCTGGCAGCCGATTGTCACATATGTTTGTGCAAAAGAGTTGCACTATAGCAAAGCTTTCTCGCCGTTTGTAAAATCGGTGGTACCGCTGGTTCCATGCATCGCGCATCGTAATACACGGCAATGATTAATATTTGATGACATGGCGCGACACAAGGCGTGCATGTCATGGAGCAACGGTGACAACGTTGCAACCGTTTGTCATTTTGTTCCCCCAATGCTCTCTTTTAATCGGCACGTCCTTCCCTGTCACTTCCGCGCCACACAACTTTGGTTCACTGACCCTGTTGTCTAGCAGGGACAAAGCGTGCGGGCGAGGTCACGTTCTCAATTCCCATACACTCAGACACCTGCACTTACTCACCGGACCACGTGCCTAATGCTAAAATTGTGCCCTAACTACAGCCACCTGAGCGACACAGATGCCGACGCTGGGCGGCGTTTGTCTGCGTGTCTGCGTCCGGCGGGGTCGGTCAGCGCGGTCGGTCGGGGCTCACTCGGGTCGGGGCGCACAGCTCGGCCGGCGCTATGGCTGGCACGCTCAGGGCCAAGGCCGAGAAGGGCAAGAAGAAGCTGGTGAAGCGCTGGCGCAGCTCGACTGGGAAGGAGCTAGATTACGGTAGATACCCGGCCGTCGACGTCAGCTTCACCGGCGAGGAACGGCTCGCGTTACTGAGTGGTGGCGGAGGTCATGGCAAGGCGAGCGTGTGGGACGGCTTCAAAAGGCGCTGTTGATTGGATGTGCCCGAAGTGCCGCCGCCTGGCTCGGTTCTTGGTTGCCTCAGCGTTATTGTCAGATATTGTGGACAAACGACCGGACCGTTTCGTTCCAGATGTCTCGCAGAAGGAGAATTCGGATCACGGTGCCGACTCTTCGGATCCCAGCGGATCCAACACACCCAACTCCAAGTCACCGCGCAAAGGTCAGTAGAAAGCCATTGCTGAGAGAGCTCGTGATCTTCGGATACACTAGGAGGCAATAGGTTGATATTTGAGCGCCTAACCCCCGGTACCCACGCGCATGTTAATGCCAGCAAGAGCGGGACAGCTGGCGGGGCGGGAGAAGGAGCGACAGCGAGAGCAGGAGAAGTGTTGGCATCGTCAACAAGTAGCTGTTGTGGGTAGAAACTGTTCCCACGGGCACTTTCCATCAACGTAACTTCCAAAATGCAATTTGAGCTCGGTTTCCAGATGGCCCTGAATACGCAGTGCGATCCATTCCTGTAAATGGTTGTACTCCTCTCCCCTGATCCTCAGGGATCAGTGGGCGCGATATCGCGAGGGTCAGCACGCGAAAGGCGGGCACTTTCGTTGCCATAGGATTGGTAAACATGCTGATGGTGGTGGGCCAATGCTGGCTGGCTGGGGACATTACTTATGCGGAAACGAACTGCGCCTGATGGATGCCCAGCTCACACAGCACGTATGCTCCTGCCGCACAGTGATGCAGAGCGCGGGGGGTTACCACTGCTGTTCCTGAAGGAAGACAGTTTCCTCTAGGGCTTCCGTGTAACTGATGAATTTATACGCGAATGGCTTCGAAAATTAGCCAGCGATTGTCCTAGTGTCATTGATCAGGATTAGGCGTACAGGACTGGGGTCTTGCGCCTGAAGTGAGCTGTGGACGAGATCAGGTAACTCGTTAAGGACGCGGGATCACTCAGATAAAACCGTGGAGAAAAAGGGAGAGCAGGAAACGCGTCAGACAGAGCTGAGACGCCGCGTGAGGCTGACACCGTTATACCTGGTTGAGACTGAGCAGTATGTCTGTTACGTGCAAAAGGGCACTGTAGAGACCAACATCCAGTTGTTTCTCTCCAGTTGGCTGAGAGGAACTACAAGGAGGAAGCCCCTGCCAATCCAGGTTTATTTCATCTCTGCTTATAACCACCATAACAACTGCGTTAAAATCTGGCTCTGCATATATTCACAACCGGCATAATTTAACTTAGCTTATTAGTTAGACACTTTGACGTATTATATGAGCTCATTTATGCGTACCAAAGGTCAGTCGAAATATTCATAATCGTTAAGAAGTTGAAACCCGGACGAAGCGTTTCCAAAGAATTCGCCATGTCCGAACATCTCGGCAGGCCATTTTGAGGTTACGCAGCACGTCACGTTACCAGACTGACTAAGCATGCCGCCAAAATGGGGTCCCCAAGTGTGCACTGTCTGGAAAGTAAAACACATCCATCGACAGGTTTGATTTCCATGACGACTGGATGCAGGAGCACATCCACATGCATACTTGGCGGATCTTGTTCCATTCACCCTAGGCCGCCTCCTAAATGTTACGGTTCCAGTTCCCTCAGACATCGGACGCTTTAGCCGGGAGGGACTGCGGACAATTTTTACGCTTTGCATGTAGGATGCAGAATCTAATCAGCATTATGCTTGCCGCCAGGCATATAGACTTTGAACGCCTGTGATAGGATGCCATAGCTTTAACCCGTTAGAGATAACCTTGCACTGAATTTAAGTAACCTTCAATGCAGAATATTTAACATTATTGCGCATGTTTGCACCTCTTTACTTTTGCGTCTCTGCGCTCCTTGCTAAATGTCCGAGACATTTTTATTATGTTTCGTGTGCTACGTGAGTTCATCTTAACAATCAGCATTCATAGCATTCGAGCTTTCGACCGAACATTCGAATATGAAGGGTAGACAAGCACAATTCAGTGCTCTGTTGTTTGAAATCTTTTCAGAATACTTGAAATAGCCACGCAATGACAAAGAATGTTTAAAACTTACTGGTGATCAAAACTATGCTTCTAATGACCGTCTTACAATTAAGAGTAAATAATGAATAATTAAAAGAAGTAAGAAGGAAAACATAATTCCCAAATTAGCCTTCGGAATTGTGCCGCGCCCGAGAAAACCTGTTTCGCAAGGATCTGGGTTACCAAACGAGTTGTCCAGCAAAACAGCTAACATGACATCCCTGAGAATAACATCCCGACCTGAACCTTGCAAACATGTGAATAATGAAAACGGCATTTGACCACAGCTGAGGAGCAGAACAACATTAACAGCATCATTACACGCGCTCTTCTGTCGTCATTCTCGCTTTATCCTGCATCATCGCGACGCCCCATTTGACCGGGGCAGGCTACATGCTCAATCCACGAATGGGCTTAAGTGCCCTCTGATGAGCCCCCTCCGAGTGCCTAGCACATGCGACGGTTAGGAGCTCTTGTGCGGGCTAAGTCTCGTTGGTAAGGAGCTCTTGTGCGGGCTAAAGTCTCGTTAGTTAGGGGCTCTTGTGCGGGCGGATGGCTCTCAGTGGATGCAGTTTTGCCCAGCATATCCACTCTCCTTCTTCACAAAGTTCTGAAATGGTCATTACTGGCCAAAAGGCCACTAATACAGACGAAACCAAATCAACGTCATTTGCGCCGGGTGGGCTTGGAACGCTAGACAACATCATTGTGAAGCTTTGATGTGAGTAGAAACGACTTTTTATCACTAAAATGAGATTTCCCTTTGGTGACCTCATACCCTGGTTTTCCTCCCCGAACCGGCTTGCCTCCGAACTGCAGCGACATTTGCTAATATGTGTGGATACGTAATGGCCGCCGCCAACTCATTTACATACCTACTAGAAGATCCAAGAAAAAAATCCCAGTGTTTGAATACACTCAACTGAAATTCGAACACCGAAACCAAACCGGCCATTCTGCCGCAGCCAGGCACGGCTGACCCAGGTCGCGCGGACACCCCCTGGCAGGCCGCTAGGCAACACGCCCGCATCGACATCCATGCGTGGCGCTTGTCTGCGCCCGTCTGACGTCACCGGCTGCCAGCGCGCTGGCTCACGAGTCCAGCGTCATCTCCGGCACGAACAGCCGTGGTCAGCCCTGACGTCGTTTGTGGGACCTGTCGTCTGTCGGGGCCAGTTGCCACCGGAGCACGGCCTCGCGGTTTACGACCACTCCCGGCGCCATGTGTTGAACACTTGTGCCGACACATGTGCTCGGCGCCGTAGAGTGACCTTGAAATCATGACCCCCAATCGGCGCTGCTGTCGCTCGCGATATCGGCCAGAAGGGAAGGTGTCTCAGTAAGACGGCCGTGCGCGGCGTGAGGCGAGGAGGCATTATCCGGCGGAAGAATGATAAACTTACTCTTGTAGATTATGCTTAAAGTTAAGATAATGCTGCCAAACACGTTTGGCGGGCATGCGATGGGTTTGATGAACACCTTAAGAGGCCCTCTTTCATGAGAACTCAACAGGCACCGCGCTCGTTTAGCGCTAGCGCGTCGTCAAGCGACACTGCTCATGAATTGCGAAAAACGGCATTGCTTGTGAATTGGCTGGCTATGGGTCCGGCCAACCCTGGCTATCGACAAAAGCGATGAACATATGATGCTGTGCAGTGTTGCCACCGTGAAGGAAACTAAAAAAGAAAAGGAAAAACCCAACTATTTTGGGTGGATATTGATCACCATACGCAGTACCATACGCCTGTGCATTTTGTATGGTCCACTCTCTTCCGGTTTACGTCATATATTCTTGTTTTCGAGACCGGCTTGTGAAAAGGAGATGTCGGCCATCCTCTGACATATCACTGGCGCGTGCGTGGACTGGATTGGGCATTGATCTAAGTTCGGTGGAATTCACGTCTTGAACATGGCACAAGAACCGCACATGCCACTGAACTATGCAGTTCCGTTATGGGACGAAAACGACTTGGGTGTCCAAGCAAATTCCATTTTTAGTTTTAGGTGTTTCGATTCTGGTACTGACATCTTTCCTATCCCTCTAGAACTCGTCCACAAAAAATGACTCTTTTCAACGTATGCTGGCAAACTAATTAAGCATCAGTCAGCAGCTTCTTCCGGCTATTTCGTACTTTAAGTCCCATTTCAGTGTCAGTGTTCGTCTGAAGGACATTCTAAAATGCATTGCTCGCAAAAAGTTGGACACGTTCAACTTCTACCAACAATAATATGCTAAGATTCATCTCCAGTTTTTTTCGTTTTACGTTAGGACTTCAAAACCGGATTCCGTGTCTATGTGCACAGGTATCGTAACAAAATTCTGGAAGGTGGAATCCGTCTGTGATGTTTTCGTTCAGGTGAAATCCCGCTTTAGTGAGTTTTACACTGCATATTGTTTACGCTGTACAATTAGTTGCACGTCCCAATCTGTTCTGGTTACCAAGATATGGCACCATACCTTCAAAATACTCCGAAACGGGCGGATCATGGCTTGCGTTCGAAAACGCGTGACAGGCGGCACACACCGGCCCACACTTTTTCCAACGCGATTGTCCTTTTTCTCTTCAGTCAGATCTGCTAGTGTCGTCAGATGTCGCTACCACACATGTTGGATCTGAACTAGGCTTCGACTAGCCGCACAGCTCCTTCACTTTTTTGAAGTGAAGGAGCGCTTTTGGAGCGAAAAAGGCGCTCAGCGCCTTTTTCGCAAAATGTCAAAAGTTTTGACATCTTGCGTTGTTATCATGTTAATTATCCGATACGATGCGGAGAGCGAACTTCAGGCTATATGGTAATGGTGTACGTAAGACCTGCACTCGACCAGAGTTGTGCACAAAGGCGGAAAAATTGCACTCCTTGCTGGTGAAAACTGCACGGGTCTGCGACCAGTGGTTGCAAATATATCATGGACCGCTCTATAGTAGCTTCTGGCCGGCAGGACAGCTCAGCCACTCAAGTTGAAAGTTCTTATCGTCATTCTAGCAACACTCACCGGGCCTGAGACCTCGCGCTGCTTGGAAACTGGGCCCACAAGCGGACGAGGCTGGGTCGTGTGCAGGGCTGAGTGATGCTGTGGATGTTGGGGACGCTGTCAGGCAGTCAATAGGTCACTCCACCCCTGTATTGCTGCGCGCAAGGAACTGTTTTCAGAGGACAGTGACACACATTTGCTGGCCCAAAGCCACCGACGGGATAGAACGCTATTATTTATAACCAGATCGTTGGCTCGGTTTTCTCTCTTGTTTGCGCCAGCCGTCTCCGTTGTTGAAATACGCACCTGAACATTCCTCTGCAGCGAGCCATCCATTTCCTGGCCTGTTCCGCCACAGTCAGTGATAAGAATGGACGCTGAGCCCTCTTTGCCCGACTGCGTGCAGTGTGTATATGCACGGGTGTATGCGGCCTAAATGCCGTGACCCATGCCTGACCTGCTGCATTGCCGGCAGGTTCCGGGGCGAAGCTGAATGGAGGCGGCGAGCCGGGTCAGGTAAGACCCCTGTGCATGATCATTGGTACCTGTGTACCAGCGACGCTACTGGTTTATATCATTGGTTCCTGTGTGCCAGCTACGCTACAGCCCACCATGTGCCATTGCATCGTTTGATGACTCATGGGGAGGTCATCCAGCTGAGTTACAAGGCATGCGCGAACATCATTATATAAGCGCATATGTGATGGGTACATGCCCATTGCTGGTTAGGCACCTTCTCCAGGCTGCTTCTCGTTCTTGCGGCTATGTTAGTCGACTCCATGCATTGCTTTGCGTCAGCTCAAACACTGTTATTTCACTTGCCAGCGGTGTGGTAAGGGCAGCATTTGTATTTGGGCGGCTTATATTTGCCTAGACGCTTGGCACAAAGCAAGTATTTTGCTTGAGAGAAGCCTGTCTTATGAACGTCACAGCATTTTGATTTTATTTATTATATCAGCGCAAATATGTGATATTTTGGCTCAAAAGCCTCGAAACTAAACCTGCAGACCAAACCATTGCTTGGCATGAAGCCATCTAACTCCGCTGCTGGCTACTTTTAACGTAACGTCCTTCCATCCTAATGCTCATGTGTAAGGGGCTGGCGTTTTCAGAACTATGATTTTTTGTGAAAAATAGATTGAACGGCCCGGGCAACGTGACGTTTTTCCTGGTAACCCGGCGTGATATTGGCTGAGAGCTAGCAACAAAAACCAGCACACGCGACGGAAAGAGCCACGTCTGTCCATTGGGGGGCAATTGGCTTTAGAGCTTTCTGCATGAGTTGCCCACTATGCCTCCACCTACACTTCCGATCAGATATTACTGTGATGACTTGTTCGTTATGACGGGTGCGAAAGTAGCGCAGCCGTATCGAAGTTATTCATAAAATCTAGTATACTCCGCAACAACCATACAATTCGAACGCATGTACAACCTAGTTTATACGTTAATCAGCGTATTAGTTTCCTGCGGTGAACGAATGCTTATATTTATGCCGTGCAGGAAATCGACCTTCTTGCCATTTGAAGGGCTCCCGTCAGGTGTGGCTAGACCTCCTCTGCGCTTTACGCCTTCAGCGTTGACATTTGCCGTCACAGCTGGCGTATTGTACCCGGCAGGGGCGCACAAAGGATCCGCAGCTCAGAGCATAGCATGCGACGAACACGTCTGAAAAACTGCATGCTTTTGACGCAGACTTCCCAACGAACCAGCGCCCAATACCAACTGCAGAGATGAATCCCCTGATCCTGGCCTGTCAGCCCCCCTTCGCGTTTCTCCTGCCGGGGCCTCTGCACTACAGCAGCAGCCGGCGGCGCACACGGTCGCGAAAGGGGCGACGTCTCACCGGAGGACGACAGTGCGAGCCGTGGTCGGGGATGGGAGGCGCGCGGCGCAAGGCCGCAGACCGCGTTGTCCGTTTCCCGGCTGCAGCGCTGTGTCAGTGAATAATCGCCAGGGGCGTCTCTCGCCGGATGGGGTCGGTGTGGCCGATCAGGAGGCCGGAGTGGCGATCCGCATCGACAGTTGCCGCCGAAGCAGCAGCGGTGAGAGTGAGACGCGCGCCGCCGTGTCAGTTCGGCCACTCACCAACTGCGATGGACTGCTTGCAGACATACTTTTATCTACATGACTACTCAACTTAAACTTTAAATGGATTGCGATGTGATTCTGTTGATGCCGCCAACAGTGCAGGCACAGTGCTTGATGCGCATTGCATTGGCTCAGGTAGAGCACAATTTAATTGAAAGTGCAATGCGAGACGCCGGCCCACGGTCAGAGCCGAGCGCGGTAACCGCTGTTTTTTGGACCCAACAACATTTTATTCAGAGCCCGACCAAGTCTCTGCACGTAACGTAAACAGCGCGCTTATTCCCACCGCGGGGACTGTGGCGCGAATACCTCGCCGGAAAGCCGGGTCAAGAGAGTAACCTGAGTGAAAAGACGCGGAGCATCACAGAGACGGTGTATATTGACATGTCTCTTCCATGTAAGGAAATAAGCGATTCTAAATGAAATATCGGCCCCAGGGCTTAGCCTGCCAAAACGTCTTCTCGTTTGTGGTGTTTAAAAGGAATGGGTGCTGTGTCCGAAGTCATTTTTTAAACCTCAGCCAATGCAGAGCATGACACTGCTATTTCGGAGTGGGATTTCAGCACACTGTATCCAAATGCTGCAATGGGAATGTACAACACGCACGCTTTTGGAGGTGCTTGTGTGCTTCAGCGTTTTGAGATGGGAATGGTTTGCTGAATTGAGCCCTACTTGACGCGTAGCACGAGCGCTTCGAAATGCACTCTGCACGCTGAGCGCCCTGTATGCTACGGTACGGCGGGTTACGTGAAAGTGCAACGTAGGCCAAAAGGCGCTTACTGAAAATAACCCTGCTATCATATTTCATCGTAAGCGCTGAACAAGCAAATAAATACAATCTAAATATCGGAGGAGTCTTAAGTCCCTGCGTGTGTAATTCAAGGGTATTTTTCGGGTCTACTTCTTTAAATTATCTGGCGAAAAATATGCTTGAATGATCATAGATGGATTACGTGTATACGGGGTCCTAGATCCGAGTCTGAAAACATTCTGTAAACATTAGAAAACCATCACACAATATTGCGTTCCCGTCGACTGCTGTGAGTAGGCCTGGTGGGCCTCCGCTAAAACAGCAAATCAATTACGGGAATCATCAATAATTATTAGATCGTTATACCCCAATGAACCCGACTTTTAGTAGCTAAAATACGACCACAGAACCCACTGATATGCGAAACACTGCCACTGACGACCTCGCCTCGTCAGATAAGTCGCACAGTGGTGCCTGGTGTGCACCTGTAGGGGGCACCTGTGGCGCAACGGGCCGCTGCTGTTGTCGGTCCGTCGCCACCGGTCGACGCTCCGCCACCCTCCACCCTTCCATTCTGGACCGCCACCGGACCCTCCGGCGACACCGCCTGTTCTGATGCGCAGTGCAGCACTGGACCCCGTGACGCAGCTGTAAAGCTCATACTCCGGGCTCTCTGCTCCAGGGCGCGACCGAGGCAGTCGACGAGGGAGCGGCCGTAGAGAGCTTCAGAGAACAGAGCTTCAAGGCCTGGACGGGTGTCGAATATGGGACGCGGCTGTCCCGATTGTCTGTCTTTGTCTGCATAGGTCTAGATTGCCTCTACATTGATTATCTATTGCAGACACGTTCATTTTTCCATGATTGGGGTGGCCGAGCCCGCGGCATCACATCCTAACTTCTTCAAATGTGTGTTTCACAACGTATTGAAACACTTAAGTCTGGCGAATGGAAAGCTTCATTGATGAGCTATCAGTCCTTTATTTCAGTAGCGTAGTAGTCACGGTCATCAGTTGATGCCAAAAAGCTATTTCATGTTTGGTAGTACACTTTTTTAAAATAAATTCTCCAACATTTCAGCAACTGTATTAGTGGCCTCAACCAAAATTAGGATTTCCCTAACCAGCATCACGGGGGGGGGGGAGGTGACAAGGTCCTCACCAAGCAACACAGATGGAGACCACCGGTTCCCTGTCTCATTTTTTTCCGTAGACCCAGAGCTTTTACTTTTAATTTCTTTATTTGTTTCTTTTGCGACGCGACTGTGTCCCTGAACTCTCACAGACCTTGCTCAGTAATACACGCAGACGGAATTTAAAACAATACATAGCGTCCTGCTTTCTTACGTCTTGACTCCTTCGTTTTGCACAGAACTCTCCTAAGCATCCCGTAGTACCCTTTGACTATTGCCCTCCCCCGCCACAACTCGCCATTTGACCCTCCCCGGAAGGCCGACCCAAAACCGACGCTCAAGTCCATTATTGATTATTGCTGCCAAACGCGAAATGCGCCAGGACAGGCATTCTGCCAGCGCCTGGGTCGTAAGCCTCGCGTCCTCTCGCTCGACCCAGCCCAGGGATCGACAGTCGTAACCTTGTGTCCTTTCGCTCGACCCAGCCCAGGGATCGACAGTCGTAACCCTCGCGCCCTTTCGCACGACCCAGCCCAGGGATCAACAGTCGTAACCCTCGCGTCCTTTCGTTCGGCACAGCCCAGGGATCGACAGTCGTAACCCTCGCGTCCTTTCGCTCGACCCAGCTCAGGGATCGACAGTCGTAAGCCGCGGGTCCTTTCGCTCGACCCAGCCCAGGGATCGACAGTCGTAACCTTGCGTCCTTTCGCCCGACCCAGCCCGGGGATCGACAGTCGTAACCCTCGCGTCCTTTCGCTCGACCCAGCCCAGGGATCGACAGTCGTAAGCCGCGGGTCCTTTCGCTCGACCCAGCCCAGGACAGTCGCATCGACTGTCGGCCCACAGTCGCTGTATAATTCAGCTGGGGCGGTGCTGCCCCGCCGGCCGTGGACCGGCCCATTACTACGATGGAAGCGGGACACGCGTCCTGACGCCCGGACTTCAGCTATTGTCAATTAGCTGATGGCCGTCCGCGGCGCCGCCACCAGCGCTATCCGTGACTCGATCACCCGTGATGCTAGGCGGCCCGGTGACACGGAGGTGCGTCAGTGGGACACGTAGGTGTAGCCAGCAGAGGACACATACAGAATAAACCGGCCCCCTCGTCAGGAGATGGCCGCGCGACAGGAGAGGGAACGAGGGATGCAGTTTTTCCCTTACAGCTGTATTTTATTACACTGCATGAGTGCCGTGAAAGCCTGTAGGGACTGCTTCACATTTGGAAGAATGAGAGCAAACATAAATCTGACAAAACGAAGTTTACTTGCCACGCTCTGGGGACTTCAAAATGTCAAAAATAGCTCTCAATACTACAACTTTAAAATAGAAAATACAGAAATTGTTCCGTCGTCATTTGATTGCGTCACGGGAAACGTTTGTGACATCAAAGCTATATGAAGAACATGGACAAGCTGTCAAAAATAAAACCTCCGGATATTTATGTATCACCGTCAAGTTATTTGAGGATTATGTACGCGCATACGAGTACAGTTGCGACATGCTAACGTGATTCTGATGCTTTATCTTTGCCAGCCGTTCGTTTTTTCCGTTGCATTCGATGTGCAAAGTTTTCAGTTTAGCACGGAACAGATCGAGGCTAGTGCATTTTTACCGCACTATAAAGCCCTTTTTCGTGTAGGTAAAAATCCAAATGTCATGTTCAAATAGCGTCGGAAGGAGCAAATGGCTAGCAAAATATAAATATCATGTGAATCAGGGTATCAGTCAGTGATGCTGCTCTCTACCTATGTGGCCTATCAGGACACGCAGCATTCTATAACCATGTGGCCACCTAGGAATGCTTTCCTTTTGCTTATGTTTACGTTTGTCTGCGATTCTGTATTTGATTCATTTCGCCTGGTCGGTCCATGTCATGGTTGTCCACTACTTGGTGACAATCGCCATTCATGCTTCACGCCTTTTATGCTTATCGTTATGTTGATTTGGGGAAAGAAAAGCCCAAGTTTTTCTTTTCTTTTTTTGAATATTAATGACACACCATTACAATTCATCATCAATTTTCGGCATACCAAATGCACGAGCAGGATCGACAAAAAATGCTAAGGAACATCAAAGCTATGGCTAGGGTTAGGGTCAGTTACATGCCGCAATCACATCATGTCACATCTGGTCACCATCCAAGGCAATTTTACACAAAATCTTAACCACCAGACTCAGGTCAATATTTCCAACCATTCGCAGTAAATTGGTCATCAAAGAGACATATTTCCGACATCAATGTCACTGATCAAGTCGCCATGAACTGTAATAGGTCATTTGGGTAGTGAGAGTAGAATAATTATACAAATGACTGGCTTTTGACCATCGTTTTCAATTCTCGATTTGATCTTAATTTCTTATCCCACCCATCTCATCTCAATTTGATCTTGGGCTGACCCTGAAGATATGCTTTAGCCAATGCCGTTTCGGGTGCAGGCGAACCCATACGTTTGTTGCTGCCCGGTTTATAGCTATACAACACCCAATACGGCTGCTAGAGAATCCCAAGATCCCCAAACCGCTTTGAGAACTCATTCCGTTTTTTTTACGCGACCGTCGTCACTATCAGCTACGCCAAACACGCTGATACCGACGCCATGTTTGGGAGATTGCCACCCGAGGCCGTGACCTTTCTCCCAGCCTCATCCTTCCTCCTTCCTCCCTGCGCCCTCGCTGAGCCTATGGGTTGCCGTGTCCGGTGTCTCCGGGCATACCCAGCTTGAGGCAAGCATCTCACGTGAGACAATAGCCGCTGGTTCCAAGGACACCGCCTGCAGGCTCGCTGGGAGAACCGTCCCCCCCCCGTCACGCCAAACACTCCTTGATCCCAGGATCAATGTCACCTCCCGGTTAATCTGTTCATATGTTCAAGAGGGAGGGAGAGGTGCCTCCAGCGCGCGCTGTGCCCGACGCTGCCAGATGGCCAGTGCCGTATCGCTCCGTGCCGCGGCCCGCTTGAGGCGTGTGCAAAAACGTTCTTCTCGGCATCCGCATACGCCAGTGATCACAACTTGTCCTGCATTTGAATAAACCAGGTGGGAGAAGGGCTAACGCGTTGATCAGCGCGGCCTTCTCCGGTTCCGCCGGCTCGGGGACGGCCAGACAGCACCCGCTGCCAGGTAGCGCTGTGTGGCACGGCGGCGGCCGGGCCTGGTTGGCCGAGCGCGGCCCGGTGTGACGTCACTCCCGCTGACGCGCCCGGCCGGCCGGCGCTCTATCGGGGAGCGCCGCCGCCGCGGATATAGCGTCCAGGGCCGGCCGGCGTCGGCGCGGCCGTGCGGGCTCCCGCGGCTCCAAGCGGCGGCACGTGAGCGCCGGGTTCCGCCGGCGGGGCCAAGCGCGCGGCAAGCGGCCGCTGGTGTGTGCTGGCGTTCCTCAGTGCCGCAGCGGACGGTGTGGCGCGGTGCGACGCCCGCCAGTGAGAGGCGCCGCGTGCCGGCGGCGATGGCCGGCCGCGGCTGAGCTCGGGTCGCGTGTGGGAGCCAGCCGGCCTCGTCGCGATGGGACTCGGCGAGCGGCTGCGCGCCTCGCTGACCGGCGCGCTGGAGCTGGCGCCGCGGCGGCCGCGCGCGCGCCGCTCCCGCTCTAGCACGCGCGTGCGGCCGCCCAGCGATGTCAGCGACGAGATGCTGTTCTTCTGCGAGGGTCACGAGGAGCTGCACGCGCTGACGCGCGGCGGCAGCGGCGGCAGCGGCGGCTCGGCTAGCGCGGACAGCGTGGCGCACGACTGGCGGCGGGTGGGTACCACGGCCGCCGGCTGCCGCAGGCCGCGGCCTTCCCCATCGCCCTCGCTCCTTCTCCGCACGAGAGAGTGGCGGGGAGGACAACGGTGGCCGGTGCTCAGAAGACCGGCCAAACGGGAATGGGACGAGGCCCGAGGGATTGGGATGAGCTGCAGGAGTTTTGTTCGACAGCCGGTACCGCCGGCGGTGGAGGCCGGCGCTGCAAGTTCGTGACCGGGCGGGGCAGGAAACGGCTTGGCGTCTGGCCGAGGTCAGGCTGCCTCTCCGCCTCCGAGCCTGCCTCATTAGCGGACGGCCATGTGGCGGCGGCGGAAGGGCAGGCACCCCCCGCCGTCACCGTCGCTTGTCGGCTACCGCCGCTCTGTCGCCAGCCAGCCTCGCTGTCAAAACACAGCGGCCAGCGAAACCCACTACGGACGAAGTGCATGCGTGTTGTTGTTCCGTATCGACCGACAATTGACCGCGGACGGCCTGCGGTGTTGGGGGGAGGTATCTGTTGAATCTCACCCGAGACTCCCTCTGGCAGCGGCCTCCTCATGCGGCCGGAACACACTGGCAGAATGATTCTAACTTTAGATGCAGTCTGACCTTGAGAGACTCGTGTCTGCACGTGGGCGCCTGCGTGTTGGATGCAAGGTCACACGAGCCATTCAGACTTACTTGATGATATACACAGAGACGTCGCGCGGAGCAGCATACCAGTCCTCTCAGTTGTGCTACGACGTAATCCAGGGCCTCTAACGGACCGTAAGGTACGTCGCCCATGCACCTTAGTGCTTATCGACCAAGGCTTCGACCTAGCGATAAAGTTCCTTTGCGGTTGTACGCCGCGTACAGAAATAAACGTCTCGAAGATCCAACGCCCCGTCCAGGTGACGATGTATTTACATTGCCGGCGTGAGTGACGCGTTCAAGGCGATGTTTACACCAGCGCTGTTGTGCTTGCAGGACTCGTCGCAGTACGCGTCGCTGAATCAGCATGACTTCTTCGTCTTGGACGTGTACCTCAAGCATGGTCGCAACCTGCCTGCCATGGACAGCAGCGGTAGGTCCCAGCTGCGCTGTCATCAGCGAGAATTAGCTCGGCAGCCTCGCAGTCGCCATGTGTAAACACGGCGTCACCGCCCGGGCCCACGCCGGTGCGCCACGTTGGCCGCCGGCCAGCCGCCATGCACCGCCATCGGCGCCGGATGACGCGTGAGGGGGAGGGGTGGAGGGGGAGGGGCGCCGCGGTCCCAGCGGAGCCGTTGGTCGCCGCAGGCAGGACTTTCATGAAAATGTCAGGACATTGCGCCGCAGCCGGCTAGCTCACACTGTGCAGCGCTGGGCGGCTGGCTCGCTCGAACCGTGCCTCCACGCCAAACAGATGGCCCCCTGGATGTCTCGACGATGGGTGGGGAGGCGACGTGATCAGCAGTTCCGCCGGCCGCGGTGGGGGCTCCGATCAGCGCTGGCGGCGGGTCGCGGTCAGCTCTAAGCTGAACCCGGCGCACAACTGCGACGCGAACGCCGCCGCGCGGCGAGTGCGCCGTCGCTTTATCGGCGTGAACGCAAACCGCAGGGCTCGACGGCCACGGTGAGCGTCCTCCCAGCCTGCCGGCTGTGACCTCGGCGGTGACCTCGGCTGCGTGGCGCCACCGCGGCGCCGCCGGCTGACCCGGCACCGCCCGGTCGGTGCGGCACGGTCACGGTGAGCTTCCACCCAGCCTGCCGGCTGCCGCCGCGGTGGTGACCTCGGCTGCGTGGCGCCGCCGCGGCGCCGCCGGCTGACCCGGCACCGCCCGGTCGGTGCGGCGCGGTCACGTGACGCCCGCTCGGACCGTTTAAAGTTGGCCCTGGCCGCCCGGCGGCGTTATCGATTGGACCTGCGCGGCGTCAGGGGGGAAGGGGGGGGGGGGGCTACGCCCACAATGCGGTCCGTCTATTTGCACGCCGCTCATTGGCTGTGTCGTCTCACTGGTGGGCCTGGAACCCCCACGGACCCATATGTAGCTCTGTGCTGCAGGTGTAGGCGACGCTCCGTCCCACGTTTTTTGTACCATGATACTGGAGAGCAGGCAAAGTATATGAAGCCGAGAAGGCGATGCTAAGAGCTTCAGCATGGACCAAAAGTTCAGCGGTCTGGGATCTTAGAACTATGCACCATGCATTATGAGTGCATTATTGTGCACATTGACCCTGTAGTAGTCATCTTCACGGGCAGTAGTGGAAGTAGTAGTTGTAGAATCACGAGCGGTAGTCGACAATCTCACACCGTCGCAGACAGCAACTCGTTTGTCATGGCAAACTCCGAATCAATTGCGCTATGTTACATTGATTTTACCTGAGCGCAGTTGTTGCTAGTCATGGTATATCTCAAGATGCCTTCGAATGCTCAGGAAGCCCTGGGCTGTTAAGAGAAAACCAGGGGTGCCTGGAGGTCGCAAGACGCCCAGAGATTCTCCAAACCGTTCTGTGAGACGTCAGGATAGCTCGGAATGTCCACGCTTGCCAATATGGTGTTCTCGGGTGCCTGTAGACATGCATGCCGAGTAGAAATTCCCCGGAAACCTAGAGACACCGGCACGCCTCGGCTCCTTGTACCCCGGGGAAATACGCGAGGTGCCTCACTGTAAACCGGGACTCATAGATGTACCCCGTGATGCCTGGATTCAATCCGTGATACCTGGAGATAGCCAGGGATGCCCTATAAGGCCCGGAGATAGCCAGGGGTGCCTTGCAAGGCCTGGAGATAGCCAGGGATGCCATGCAAAGCCTGGAGATAGCCAGGGATGCCTTGCAAGGCCTGGAGATAGCCAGAGATGCCTTGCAAGGCCTGGAGATAGCCAGGGATGCCGTGCAAGGCCTGGATATAGCCAGAGATGCCTTGCAAGGTCTGAAGATAGCCAGAGATGCCTTGCAAGGCCTGGAGATAGCCAGGGATGCCGTGCAAGGCCTGGATATAGCCAGAGATGCCTTGCAAGGTCTGAAGATAGCCAGAGATGCCTTGCAAGGCCTGGAGATAGTCAGAGATGCCTTGCAAAGCCTGGAGATAGCCAGAGATGCCTTGCAAAGCCTGGAGATAGCCAGAGATGCCTTGCAAGGCCTGGAGATAGCCAGGGGCGCCTTGCAAGGCCTGGAGACAGGCGGCTCCTGCCGAGGTAGCGGGGCTTTGTGCTGAATATAATAGACCGACACCACCTGAGCCCCTCTGGCCGAAATGTCAGCTGGAACATTTCGTACCTGCAGACCGGTTGGATCACACAAAGCCCGCGCTGCACATGTTGAAAGGTCAGTTCCAGCTGCCGTCCAGAGAGGGATTGCCCGGTAATGCGCGGTGGGCAGCCAACAGACAATGTTGCACGGCTCGCGAATTTTCTATTCCCAGTCATGTCCGGCTAAAATACAACGGGGAACATCTCCGTTGCACTTTAGTTGTGCTTGTCCATAGTTCGTTACTTCTGGGAGTGAGCAGCAAGCGTTACGTGTAGTACGTGCTAGCAGGGCGCGGCGAACCTCCATGTGCGATTACAGATGTCTCGGTCATTTCGCCCTTGGTTGCGCATGAAGGTGCACGGTGCTCATCGCCCAGTCGCCCAGATTCGCCTCGGTTGTGTGCTGACATGTTTGGCTACCTGAATGAGTGACGTGCCTTGCTCCAGTCCGACTTCCTGACGCCGCTTGCGACCGGTCCACATTCTGCAGCCACCTAATGTGGGCAGCTAGTGGAACGTTAGGGTAAATCGGAAGCTTGCAATCCATTGCAGCGCCGTAATTGTATTGTCGCGATGGGAGAGACCAACCATTTATGAAATGTTTGTTAGCAAATAACCGGTGTTTCATGAGTATGTCTTCGTTCAACTCTGCCGTTTTTCATAGCAGCATTCAGAATAGTCGTGAGCCGGCGCGAATACGACGCGGGCAAAGGAACCAGGGAAGTGTATGAAAATGCATCGAGAAAAATGCAGGAAAGCACACGATACCACTAATATGACAGATTTGCGACACTCCCATGGAGTTCCACGACAATTTTAAGCCTCGGCAATTCGTGAAACTGTGCTTGCTTTAAAATATGCAACTAAAGGCTCCGTCTACCAGCGTGTTTATTTTCGTGGTGCCCTAACGGGCTCGCTTTTCTAACGCAGTGTGTTGAAGCGGATTAAAGTTCTCTAGCACTGTCTGATGCCATCATATTGTCATATTTCAGGCACCAGTGACCCGTATGTCAAGTTCAAGCTGGGAGGTAAGGTGGTGTGCAAGTCCAAGATAGTGTACAAGACGCTGAATCCTCTCTGGGACGAATGGTTCCAAATTCCCGTGGATGATCCTTTCCAGCAGCTCCAGGTTAAGGTGAGATTTACATCACACACCGGAAGCAGCCACTCTTTTATCGCGCTAATGTCATCAGATTAACCTCAGAAAGGCGACCACCTGTTTTATGGTCTAATAAGGTCGTGTGTTTCTTTAAAACGGACGGCGTTGGAGCCTGGCCAAATCTGGTTTTAAGTCGCCCGGCTCGGTGATAACGTGCTGACTGCATCAGACCTGACCTTTGCGTGGCGACCTGTGCCGCTGGCGTCGGCGCCATTTCTTCGCCGCTCCCCACTCCGTGGACGTCGGCGTCGTTCCCTCGCCACTCCGCGTTCCGCGGACGTCGGTTCCGTCCCCTCGGCGCTTCATACTCTGCGGACGTCGGTGGTGCCGTCCCATCGCCGCTCCACACTCGACGGACGTCGGCGTCGTCCCGTCACCACTCCGCACTCCTCGGTCGCCGACGTCATCCCCTCGCCACTCCTCACTTCGCGGACGTTGGCACCGTCCCCTCGCCACTCCGCACTTCGCGAACGCCGGTACCGTCCCCTCGCCACTCCGCACTTCGCGGACGTTGGTACCGTCCCTTCGCCACCCCGCACTTCGCGGACGTCGGTGCCGTCCCCTCGCCACTCCGCACTTCGCGGACGTCGGCACTGTCCCCTTGCCACTCCGCACTTCGCGGACGCCGGCACCGTCCCCTCGCCACTCCACACTTCGCGGACGTCGGCAGCGTCCCCCCCGTAACGCCTCTCCGCCCTCCGTAGCGCGGAGAGGCGCTAGATCTCACGACTTAACGGCTCGCCAGGTGTACGACCACGACTGGGGCATGAACGACGACTTCATGGGCGAGTCAGAGCTGGACATCAGCACCCTGGAACCCAGCAAGTGAGCATGACGGAGCTCTGTGACCCCAGGGGTCACTCCAGGGCCTGTTTGCATTCACTGGTGCGGGTACCACGCTTGAACCCAGTTAGAAATATCGCCATCAGTGCTCGACACGACTCAACAGTTTTTATATAAAGACAGTGATAGGATGAGGTACAGTATTGACGGTGGCTGCCACACATCTTGGGACTCAACGTATCGGCAACAGCTGATGTCATCCGCTTGATTGCAGCTCTCATGTTAAACTCCCACAAGAGGTCACTGGCACCTTTCCGAATTACCTATTTCGGCTGTGGGCTGTCTCTTTTTACAACTTTTCAATACAAATGTGAATTCGGAAAGGCACTACTTTCCTTTTGCTAGCATCAGCATTGCAACTCACACGAACTCATACCACACAGGTTTTGTCCTTCGCATTGCCTCAGAACGACGCAAGTCTTGTTAAAGATCTGACGCGCGAGGTGGCTAGTTTTCTCCCTTGGATCCCCCCCCCCTCCCCGGCCGCTCCGTTACATGCATTCTTCAACACTGTTGTTCAACATTCAGCTTGCCGGCAAAAGCCAGACTCCTTGTCTAGCGGCCTCAGGTCACCCTCGCCTTTCTCGCCATCCGTAAGTAACGCGAACGGACGCTTCCACGCAAAACAACGGATGCATGTAAGGGGAGCATCGTGTGGCGACAGCTAACTTTGACACGACCTTGGTGTGGCCCCCAGGGAACAGGAGTTGACGCTGCCTTTGGTCGATCCGTCCAAGTCGGGCGAACAAGGCAGCATTACGCTCACCGCCAACCTCGTGCCAAAGAGCAAGGAGGAGAGAGACCAGGTGAGAACAATGGCATGACTGTATAACGGGTGTCATACTGACGCCACTCCACCCATCCGACATGGACTGATGTGGACTTGTCGGGTAATTAGAGTTCCAGGGTATGTGGGAAGGTGGTGAATGCATGTATGATGTCATCTTCCCAGGTCAGTGCGCAGCGAAGAGGGAAACTTTTGATGTCCCTTTGTAGGTGGCGGGGCCCAACTGGGGACGAATGCCCCCCGTACTTTTTGGCAGTTAAAACCGCCCGCCCCTAAGGCTTCTAAAACATAACGACGGGTCCCTATGCTATCAAAACAGGATCACAAACCTTAGAAAGGTTTTCCAAATAAAAACAGAGCTCTATAGAAAGAGACCCCCTGACTGAGCTGACCCCACATGACCCGATCTGGTCCCTGCTGGGCGGAACGCTGGTTACGCCGCCGTGTCAGGCTAAGACTGAACGATGCTTTGATGTACCGACTCTGTCGAACGCACTGCTTCCTGATACCATTGTCTTAATAATGCGAGAGTAAATGGCGTATATTTATATTCATGACCTCAACCGACAACATGCTTTATAAACGCAAAATTATGTTAAAATTATATTCCTTAGGCGAACAGCCACCGGTTTCATGCTCGTGACGTCTGCTTCGAATGATACAGCGTCGTATTGACCCTTCCAGTCCCTCTCGAGTGCGTGGTGTTGCCGGCTACTGCACCAGTGCAGAGTGTGACCTTTGACCTGAATCCTGGTGACCTCGTAGCTGACGGGATCCGGCTCGAAGGGCGCGGACCCCAAGAAGCTGAAGAACCAGCAGTGGAGCAGCGTGGTCACCATTGTTCTGGTGGAGGCTAAGGACCTGATGGCCATGGACTCGGAGGGCACTAGCGATCCTTACGTCAAGCTCAGGTTTGCGAACCATTGTCAGCAAAAGACAGATGGTGTGCGTCGAGGGAAAGGATGATCCTAGCGATGTGGCCTTGTTGGCTGTTTCCTACGCAGGCCACTTTCCGTATGATCCCAAAAAATGGGTAAAATTTAGTTTGCCGATATGAAAAACGGTATGCAGTTGCATACTGTGTTCCATTGTTGAGTTCGCAAAATGCATCGCATTTACCGCATCGCTTTCTCTGCAGATCTCCAAAACAGTTTCATTATAGTCTGATAGCAGCAGACCGACGGACCAAATACATTTGAAGGGAATTGGACGATTGGTGGTCTTGTTTACTAATGCCTGTGAGAGCTGTAGAAGTTGGAGGTGCAGGTTACCTGCATATTTAAAAAGATTAGCAAAAATATAAGCAGCCCACAGTTTTAAAACGAAGGGTAGGTATTTATGAAAACGGCTATGCCCTTGGTCATTAGGGCGATGTTGCGTGTCGCACAAGCCTATACCTAGTTCACCGCCTGTAGACATGGTGCCGGCTTGGGGGAGCACCGTTGGCTTCTTGCACTTGCACAGCATCAGCGAAAAAGTCAAAACAGCTGCCCATACAACCGAGACAATCTGAACAAATAATGACGTGCAATAAATATGAGATATGATGAGATACATGAGATACATGATATATGAGATATGATAAATAAATATGAGTGACAATAAATTTGAGACGTTCCCTTACCACCCAGCTCAGTTCGTCCGACGGGCGTCGTGTACCTCTGCGTGCGGACGAGTCCCCCTCCAGCCCACCCCTCCCCCATCCGCTAATGGCGCCCGGCACGTCATGACGAGCCCCCCCCCCCCCCGCCGGCGGCAGGCTGGGCGCGGAGAAGTACAAGAGCAAGGTCGTCGACCGCACCCTGACGCCGCGCTGGCTGGAGCAGTTCGACATGCACCTCTACGACAGCGGCTCGCAGATCCTCGAGATCGAGGTGTTCGACCACGACGCCCGCAGCAAGGACGACTTTATGGGCAAGTGAGTGGCGAGTGCGTGACCTGACGCCCCAGGGGCTAAGCGCACAAGTACATTTGACGGGGGAAAACGTGTGAGGCTTGGCGTTTTGATCAGGAGTCCGCCATTCCAATGCTTTGGCTTGTCTGCTACGCGTGATGGGATTTATCGCACTCGCTAATGCTGACACGTTATGTTGTTGACCGGTGCACTCATCCTAAATAACTCCAAATAAAATGGGTCACTCACGAGTGCGCCGAGCAAGTTTAAAAGCTGGACGACTATCCTGTACAAGTTTCGGTGAACATGTTTGATAGTGGTCCATGGCAGCCAACTGAAAGTGACATTTCACTTGCTATGTGATGCACGGCAGGCGCTCCCCCAGAAGTTGAAAAGGGCACGCAGCGTGGATAAGGTCATTTGCGGTCCAACATCGCCATAGCGTTTCTATTTGCAACCGGCTTATTTCTTGATCGCCGGTGGAAGCTGGTTTTCAAGCTTGTTGAATTCCTCTGAGGATAACAACCGGTATTTGCGAAACCTTGGGCGATTCCCTCGAAAGATCGGCGCCATTAATAGACTCTTCGTGGCCACCGGATTTTTGTAATACCCAGCGCTATGAATCGGATGCAGTTCGATCCCCATATTTATCTCCTCCACACCGACCAGTTCCTGCAGCGAGACGCGTGGACCCGCGCAGTCGCGCCGTAGCCCGCCCCTCTGACGTCCCCCAGGACGACGGTGGATGTCTCGAAGCTGGAGCGGGAGAAGACGCACCGTCTGTGGACCGAACTGGAGGACGGCGCCGGCTCCGTCTTCATCCTCCTTACCATCTCCGGCATGACCAATGTCGAGACGATCTCGGACCTCCTCACCCACCAGGAGGACGTGGAACAGACGGAGCAGATCAAACAGCAATTCGTGAGTGGGCTGGGTGGGCGAATTGGCGGCGACTGACCTGATTACACATTTGTAACGGTTCTGCTACGGGGCAAATTGGCTAGCAAGACAATGGCACCGTTTCAGTCATGATTAGTGTTGACAGTTCCAAAAAAGTAGTTCGTAAAAAATCAAATTTGATGTAACAGATTGAGTGGCCGTGCATCAGGGTTTCGAGAGGACTTTGTGACCGTTCTTTTGTATGCCACTTGATGACTCGCGATGGGTACCAAATAACAATGTAAAATATGACACTGGGAAACTTACGCAACTCATCATAACTCATTTCATTTCAGGCGCTGAAGAGCTCGTTCAAGCAGGTGAAGGAGGTGGGCCATTTGACGGTGAAGGTGTTCAAGGCGATGGGCCTGGCGTCAGCCGACATCGGCGGCAAGTCCGACCCCTTCTGCGTGCTGGAGCTGGTCAACTCACGTCTTCAGACGCAAACCGAGTACAAAACGCTCGCGCCGCAGTGGAACAAAATATTCTTCTTGTGAGTGCCTCGCCTGAGCTTGCGCGCGTTGGTAAGGGGTCGGTGGGAGATCCCGCGTGCTGAGCATGAGGTGGGGCACCATCTGATGACCGGGCGTGGCCGACGCCTGAGGACCCAACTGGACTGCCTGTTCCATCAATCTTGGAGTGCGGGGTGGCCCCGGCCGATGTCATACGTCCACAGTGCATAGTGCCCCCGCGGTGTCAAACTATGGCGGCATTCAACTTCATTTGCGTATATTTGGAGTAGACATAAAGGCATAGCGCTAAAGACAATCGTCTTGCAACTATGAGACAAAGCATCTTGGATATGCAAATGATCCCGCCATGTTTCCTGAACACGTTCTCTATCTTTCACAAATCAGGGGCTACGCTGATGCCGAAGCATGCTATCGGTCTATTCTATTCTATATATATATATATATATATATATATATATATATATATATATATATATATATATATATTATAAGTCCTATTTTACCTGTTGCAGCAACGTGAAAGATATCCATAGCGTGCTGGAAGTAACAGTCTACGATGAAGACAAGGACCACAAGGTCGAGTTTCTGGGCAAAGTATCCATCCCTCTGTTAAAGGTGCGTACACTCTAACAATATTACTTATGCCAGATCCGCACAATATTGTATGGCAGCTGTGTGTAGCTGGTAACTGATGACTAGTTTCCCTGATCTCCTTTCAAGTGTGGATGTGATTTAACTCTAGGCTGCTACATGTTATGTTTTAGCAGTTTATGGACAATGATAGGTAAGACAACAGAGTCCTGATTAACTTTTTCGTGGGTGGTATTGTGGACACACGGCAGTAACAACTATGCAGCATATTCGCTGATCATATACGCTTAATGGAGCGACACAACGCATCTTGCGAAAATGTCGTGAACTGAGGTCTGTTCACAATACAGCAAGCCGTTTTTATCCTATGGCGCTCAGAACTTTGTTCGGAGGTTAAAGATGTGCTTTCAACAACATAAGACCATTCATATTATGAATGACACAGGCCGATCAAGCGAATCAAGTACAGCCACCACTGTAGACGGGAAATTGACCTTAAAATCAATCTTGCCCATGATCATGTTGGGAACGATACGAATAAAAGCATGAGCATTTATGTATCCGCTTTGTGTAACTGACTGCGATCCGTAGATCCGTCCCGGAGAGAGACGATGGTACGCCTTGAAAGACAAGAAACTGCTGGGCAGAGCTAAGGGAAACAACCCTCAAGTTATGCTCGAAATGGACTTAGTCTGGAACCCGGTGAGTGTCTCCTTCGGGCCGCGGAACGAAGTGCGCACTGAAAAAGTTCGGAAGGCAATTGTTTGTTGAATGTAGTCCGCGGGCCTCGAGTGTGTCGGGATTAAGTACGCGAAGTACAAAGTTCGCTGCTTCCGAAGTTCATGGCGTAAAAAGTCCACATAGGATAAGTCATCTGCAAGGACAGAACCACGTTCGCAAACGTGTGTAGCAGATGTGTAATGTGAGTTCAAACATAGGTCCTCATCGTTTGCGCCGAGCCTCAAAGGCATTGTCACTGCAAGCCCTGAGGCCGCCGCACCCCTTCGACCGGGCGCTTGAGGGATGGGTGAAAGTGGGGGAAGGGGGGTGGAGGGTAGACGAGGACAGTGATAACTGCATGGGTTGGGTCAAATGTCATCACTAGCCTGGCTCTTCGTAATATTAACATCAAATTGAGCGTCCTACGGCGATCAAAACATTCGCAGAAACTTAAACGTCCTCCGGCGTCCAGCAAATGAACCAGACTCAATGGGAGTGGTGCAAAATGACACCAGGCTGGAAGGATTAATAGCTTAAAAAACATGACAAGGATGGGCCACTCACCATGTTTCTCATGCCCCTCCTCCATCTCGTTTATTCCCAACCAGACACTGCCGCTACCAACGCCCCCGCCCGCCGCCGCCTGAGCGCACCTCTGACGCCAGCCGACGGCCGCCGGGAGTCAGCTCGCTTGTGAAATACGGCGGGTGGACGCCCGGGACGTCCGGTTTACGATCGCTTATTTAAAGCAACCCAGAGCCCGGAGAAAAAGAGCCCAGGCACTCGCTGTAAGAAAGTTGTAACCGCGAGCGCGTCTCCTAATCTTACAAACACCGCAGTGTGTCCCCAGTGAGTTGTCTCAGCCTTTCTGTCCGCAGTTCGCAGCAGCGTGGTGCCCTTTATTTACTTGCAATGTCTCTATAGAGATGAACGTCCGGATCCTCGGTGGCGTACTATAAACGTTATACACAGGCCTTGAGAGAAGCGCGCAGTTGCACGGGTTTACTGTTTGCTGATTTCCAAAGTGCTTGCGGACGCGTCGTCCTCAGGGCATTGTTGTACGTTGACGATGGCAGGTAAAGAACGTGGCAGATGCGCTCTTTATGCTATGCAGATATCTTCGATTTGCGTAAGCTTGGAGAGTTGCGCAAGCACAACCAAATTTTACGCCCTAGATCTGCGGAGATAAGATTTTAAATTGATTAGAATGCTGATAGCTCTCCTGTAACACTTCCCAGGGGAGTGCTATTCATACAATTCTTTTATTTTACGACCAGTGCTTACAAACTTTTGCGTGCATACTTTTCTCGAAACATTATTTTTCATATAATTATTAAATGATTATAATTATAATAGAAATTATATTCCATTATTAAAATTGCAATTATCAACTTAAAAAAAATAATGATTATAATACTTATATAGATATCAAAATAATAATTAAAACATTTAATTAAGCGATTATGTACAAAGAATTGCTGATGTCGAATTGCGCGGGTAATTTTTTCCATGCGAACTTTTGTTCAGACCAACTTTTGTCGATGCGAATTTACATGCGTTTTTTATCCCGTACGAGAATTTGTAACGAACTTTTGCACAAGTACTTTTGTCATATGAATTTTATGCATTAGGTGCGTTTGTTAAAGAACAGTTGCATTCATGCTTCATGCATGCATACTTTATTCAAACGACCTTTTGTTTTAAAGTCATCTGATGCAAATCCTTTGAATCCCGTGCAGGGCGGCTCAGCACGACTTTGTGTCGAACTGTCTCCTTTGTGTGCATACGACTGATCCGGGGAGATTATGTCAGTTTGGGATGGTTGAAGTTTACATGCTGGAGAGATCGCAGCTGGAGGGACTGGTGTGTTGACGTGTGATGAGCACTGCCACGGTCCACCGCTGGTATATTTTGTACGACGTGAGTTATTGTTCATGTTCGTGTGATCGTGCTTCGTTTGGTCATCCCTGCCTTGGCCTGTGACAATATATGTTTTGTACCACCCTTGCCCAGGTTTGAGCCAATGCATGGCGTGTGTCACTTCACACAGTATGCTGCCACGTTCGTGCGGTATACTGTGTTTGAACCACCCTTCACCAGGCTCGAGCCAGTTTGCAGCGCTTACGCCAACTTTGACAACGTTCGTGCCAGCATACGGTGTTTGAGCCATCCTTGGCTAGACTCGAGCCAGTGTGCAGTATTTATGTCACTCTCGGTCAGGTTCGTGCCGGAATACGCACCTTCAACCCGCGCGAGGAGAAGTATACCAGGCCAGAGCTCAAGTTCAAGAGGGCAGTGTTCATCCGAAATGTGAACCGGCTGAAGGAGATGGGAGCCGGGTTCGCCGAAGGAGCCAAATTCATCAAGTGAGCCGGCCGTCTGGGCGCCCGTTGGGAGCAGAACGCCGGCCGCACCGCGAAAAAACAGCCATGAAAACATATTGTATTCCATTGCCACAACTACTGTTTGTGGGATGCAAATGGTGAATAGGGTGTCTGGTGAGAACCAAGGAAGAAAACCAGTCGGCGGGTATTCTTACAAGCGGGTACGCAGGCCGAGTGAGTCCTTCAATATTTCAGAATATTTTTTTGGTTTGGCGGCCTGACTCGGCCATTGCGCTTAGACAGTCGGACTCAATATCTTTGCAACCACTGATCGCACGTTCATGTAGTTTCGAGATGCAAGAGATGCGTGATGTAAGACTTAAGCCGTGCATATAGTTACATTTGCATGCGAGCTGCCCTTTCAGGCGGCTTTTCCCCGAAGCCTTTTAAAATCGTAACGACTTCAGCTCCCCGTTTGATAAACATAGAGAAGGTTACGTTCTCAGGTTGCATAAACTGGGGAAAATGAGTCGAGCCGGTCCGCATCTTAACGACCTGGCGTAGGAACGACACGAGATAATTAGCTTCTGGCAAGGGAGAAAACGGGCATTGATAGTGACAAAAGTGTGGCTCGATGCGTGCAAGTAATCACGTGCTTTCGAAAAAAACCATGGATGATCCCGTTTTGAGGGTCTGTAAGAGTATGTGTGAGACATAAGGAACCAGAGTGGATGAAGGCGTGATATACGCTGCACGATGTCGGCAAATGTACCGGCCACATCTGACTAACCACTGATTTCCGGCTGACCTGTATGTGGGCCAATAAGACATTGGGAGGCGGACAACATCACCTTCTCCGAAACTAATCTTGAATGCTAAAAGCTGTGGTCTAAATCCCGGGAGAGATTGAGCTGGAAGGTACGCAGGCGCGTCTTGACGTCTATTGTGACCAATATCCACCAGAATATTTGCGTTTTCCCAATATTTTGATCCCGCTTGCTGAAACGTAAATCGTCCCAAACATATTGATGTCGTCAATCGAAATTGCCGGGCCTGACCAGACTCATAGGCTATCCGTTTTCAAGTGCTGTAAACTGTAAAGAATCGCGCAAGTGCACGCATCAGTGAACCTCCGCCCGTTTAATTCTCTCAGAAGATAGACTTCCCAAAGCATTGCTGAAACTGGCTGGTATCGGTTACTGATAGTTTTTTTACTTAATGTGCATAGTTTTTGGCGTCACCTACATAAAAACAATACCTCTCTCGTTTGTTTATCACTTTGGTCTTCACATGGCGCACAAGACAACCTACAGGCTTTTCATGACGGTATTGTTTAGTTTGGACAGTTGAAGAGGCTTATTGAAAAAAAAATGTTTTATGCATGATTGGCTGTAGATATGTGCATCTCTGGTTTAACCGCAATGCTGATTCTCAAATGTCACTTTCCATGTTCTGATATGGTCCAACGTTTGATTTCTGGGCGGCGGTTTTTGCAGCGCGGTGACAGCTCATATGTCTGATTCGTTGACGAGTGGTTTGCTCGGTGCGCTCCCTGCCAGAGCCCTGTTAACGTCGTCGCCAACTGTACCAACCGTGCGCTAAAGAGTACGCGAGTCTCTAGGTCGCGTTCTTTCGTTACACTTCACTCCGGCCCGTGAAACTGATCCGTCTCGTTATGAGCTGTGCTCTGACCGCCACGCCCGCCGGCGCCCGCAGGAGCATCTTCGACTGGGACTCGAAGCCGAGAACCATCGCGGCCTTCATCGCCTTCATGGTCGGCGTCTACTCGTTCGAACTGTACATGGCGCCCGCAGCCCTGCTGGTGGTCTTCTTCAAGGGTTGGGTGGTAAGCCGGTCAGGAGGCGAGGGGATGGTGGCGGTAAGCCGTGGGAGGCGAGGGGTTGGTGGTGGTAAGCCGGCGGCGGGGGAGGGGGGGGGGGGGGGGGAGTCGAGGGATTGGTGGTGGCAAGGGAATCGACAATAGATTGGTAGCAAGACGTCCAAGCGCTGGGTACTACGCCAGGGAAGGACTGGTGAATGATTAAGGGACGGGTAGTAAGGCAGGTGGGGGATCTGTGAAGCCGTTAGGGTATGAGGACCAGTGACGGGATGTTCGAGGGATGTGTGGTGAGGTAGGCAGGGGATGTGTGATGAGCGGTCAAGGGATCGACCATGACACAGTCGCGGTTGGACGGTCATGTAGCGAAGGCATGTCAGACCGTTTAGCAACGCCCGTCGTGGCTGAACATGTGGGACGAGACTTCACCTTCGCTCCCGTAGCCTGCCATTCCACTGCAGCAATCGTGGCCGCCGTCCTTCTGTCGCCGCCACCCGCTGGCGCCGGGCGTCACTGAGCGACGTCCGTCCTCCCCGCCAGGTGAACCTCATCACCTCCGGCTTCCGGAGCGCCGACGAGGACGAGTTCGTCGGCGACGACGACGACGACGACGACGACAAGGACAAGGTGGGTCGGCGTGCGGAGCCGAGCCCGTGGCCCGCGTCGGCCGGGCCGGCCCGCACCCAGCGCTGCCTGATCGTGCCGTAGTCGGCGGCGGCCCCTGCTGCTGTGGGCCGGAGCTGCCGCCGCTCGGCACGTCCGTCCAGGAAGCCTTCGATGTTGTTCAGTGTGCGGATGTTGCACGCTTGCAGCACTGGTGCAGATGGCCCGACCACACTTCGGGAACATCTGACAGATGTTAAGTAGGCGGCAGCATGAATCTAACCCCTGGCAGTGCACCTGGTGGCGTCATGTGTGTGACACGCCGGCTGCTCACCTCGCGCTGTGTTCGCAGGCTAAGGACAAGAAAAAAGAGCCCAGCGAGGTAAGTAACGCGTGATGGTGATGGCCCCCGTTCCAGAGTACGTTTTTAATTTCCCAGGGTCCGGTCTTTCGAAGCCGGTTGGTGGCTCTAGTCCTGGTGTGTTCATAGAAGTTGTTTGCAGTCCGTGGTGATATTTTCTTACGAGCATGGAGGTGCTTTTAATTTGTTGCCCTTGTTTCTCGGGTTCGTGGTTTGCCTCTGAGATAATAACTTGTATGTTGTAAATTGCTTTTACGTATCCGTTAGAATATTTTTCACACATCCACGGCCATCGAACAGGTGGCTTCATTGCTGGCTTTCGTTATCGTTGATTACGACCTGCTTCAAAGTATCATCGTTCAACGCAACTACGGTCAGCAAAACCTGCTCGATTGCATCCATTCAAATATCTAGACCTGACAGATGGGCCGCCATGCTTAGCGCGCTTTCACTCGTCAGGCGTCTATAGCGCTTGCCTGTGCTTGACCGCTGTCTGCATGGCTCGGTCTTCACTATCGGGGCTGTGCTTTGCTGATCATCGGTTTTTTCGTGTTCCCGGCTATTGTATCTCTGCACGCCTTTTCCAGTGTTTTGGGATGCTTTCGAATCACTAAATGTCACACACATCCGTCGCGAGGGGCGTCATATACCTGCCGTACTTTTCTATTGTTGCTGCTTTGCTGCTGACATGACCTTGCATGACCCGGCCAGGGACCGGCGCAATTTTGGCACTGCGCGGCTGTCTTCTTTTTTTTAGGGATGTTGGAAATTTCCGGCCGCGGATGTCACTCGGCGAAAGTTTTGCCATGAGTGGGCTCGGGGAGGAAAACGTGCTTCAGCTTCCCAGTCTCATCAAATGACATACATCAAGACCATGCAGAGAAGGATCGAAAGGCTTTGAGAAGTCTTGCTTGTTCCATCATCCTTTGGGCATGTCTAACACCCTTGCAGTGTCTCAGCAGGGCGGAGCCGTCAGCTGACATCAGTCTCGTCAACTGACCGCGGCTTTTCGTTCTCAGACAGCGGCATCGGGCACCATCGGACGTCTCGCCTTGTCGCCGTCCGTGCTGTGCAGAAACGAGCGGCTGTGTTCCGTTGCCGCTCTCTCTGCTGTAAAACGCGTGGACTCTGTGGGCTGTAAAACACATGTCCTTCAGGCGCCTCTTAACCTCCCTCTGCGGGGCCTCCTCTGCGGGGCCCCCTCTGCGGGTCGGCCCCGTGGATCGCTTCTGCGGGGCCTTCCCGTGGCCCCAAACGGGTTCTGCCTCGCGGAAAGCAGCGTTGTCAGCATCTCTCAAATCTGGCCGGTCGTGCTGCAGGACGAGAAGAAGTCGCTGAAGGAAAAGCTGATGGCCGTACAGGAGGTGACGGCCATGGTGCAGAACATCCTCGGCTACATCGCCTCGCTCGGGGAGTGCGTCCAAAAGTGGGTACCGACGCGGCACAATGTGCGCCTGCTGGCGTCGGGCGTGTTCGGGGATATTTACAAACGTGATGGGCCCGCCGCTTCATCGCCTCGCTCGGGGAGTGCGTCCAAAAGTGGGTAACGACGCGGCGCGATGTGCGCCTGCTGGCGTCGGGCGTGTTCGGGGATGTTTACAAACGTGATGGGCCCGCCGCTTCATGCTTTCTTTTATTATTTGAACAAGAAATGACGGGGCCGTGTGAATACTTCCTGCTGATGGGGTGTCCCTTTGACACAAGCCGCTGAGTAAGTGTTAAACGCATTGGATCGAAGGCCTGTTTTGGCTCGTGTGACAGTGTGGCGTCATATTTTCTAACATTCGGGAGAGAACAGCGTCTGGTGCCGTCTGAGTATTGTTTTGCCTCGTCATGACATGGTGTGATGTGGTATGCTCCTGGCTGCAAGCTGTGGCTGGGCTATGAGAGGACAGCAAACCTGACAATCATAAACACGTGCTTCCTTGACCCTAGTTTTCCGATGTCGTATTCTACGGTTAAGTGTACTTTGCTAGAACGATGGCAAGGCATGGAGAGGGATGAAATTGATGATTTCAATAAATCGGTTGTACTTGTCTAGGCAGCCAGCAATGCCAAACATGTCTCATCACTGACCAAAACCCTGATCTCTCCCTGGATTCAGCTGGCTTCACTTCAAAGTTGTACCCCCTGGCCCCCATTTAGGGGTATATCAGACCAGTTGCATTCCTTCCAACCGCACAGCAGCTACGTCCCTGGGCTTAGTGCTGGCTGTCTCTTACGCCGACCGCCGCCCCCGGTGTCCTTGCTTTCCTGCCAGCACTGACGCCCGCTCCGTGTTTGTACCCTCTGCCCCCATTTAGGGGTATATTGTTACGCCCGCTCCGTGTTTGTACCCTCTGCCCCCATTTAGGGGTATATTGTTACGCCCGCTCCGTGTTTGTACCCCCTGGCCCCCATTTAGGGGTATATCAGACCAGTTGCCTTCCTTCCAACCGCACAGCAGCTACGTCCCTGGGCTTAGTGCTGGCTGTCTCTTACGCCGACCGCCGTCCCCGGTGTCCTTGCTTTCCTGCCAGCACTGACGCCCGCTCCGTGTTGCAGCACGTTCAACTTCACCGTGCCGTTCCTGTCGTGGCTGGCCGTGCTGGTCTTGAGCGTAGCAGCCGTCATACTCTACAGCATCCCCATCCGCTACCTGGTGATGCTGTTCGGAGTGCACAAGTTCTCCAAAAAGTTGCTTCGGCCGAACGCCATACCCAACAACGAGCTGCTAGACTTCCTCTCGCGCGTGCCCGACAACGATCAGCTGGTGAGCACCAGGGGGTGGGGCACGGGGGACAGGCGGGGCTTGGACTAACGGCGAGGTTGGATGGGGTTGAGGCTGCGATAGTAGGCTTCAGAGCTCACATAACAGGTACTGCTGGGTGTGAATCATGACACATAAGAATGAGATCATAAGCTCAGCAGACGCACTTGAGACTTTCCAATCGGGCAGCCGTACCCGATCCGACCGTAGCTACCAAAGAACAACACGACAATATCTAAGTAATGGATGGCGCGAAGTACCTTTCCACCCTGCAAAGTTGACTTAACACAAAATGATAGCCTTCTTATGTGTTCGTTGTACCGTAAATATAGAGGGCGGTAGGAAGACGACGGCTGCTCCCGACAAATCTGGCGGAATTTTTGCGGTGCAGAACCAGCACATAACATCAGTTATGAAGCACATGCTATCCGGAAGAGTGCGGGAAAAGCCGGCAATGACAGGTGGCTCTGCCTAACGAGTTACGAGCCAAACACAACGTGTGGAAAGGAAAACTTGATATCGGAAGGAAAGATCTTCAGCTCCTGATTTTTCGGCACTGTGAGTTGAAAGCTCTTACGTTTAGATTACGATCTTCAATATGCCAGGTGATACTGGTTGAACAACGTTGTTATGCTAATGATCGATTTTATTGACGGTCCCCAATATTTCGAGCTATACTCAGCCTCGAGGATGCTCACAACACTGAATACCGTCAATAAAAATTAATCGTTACGACATCGTTTAACCAGCACCTCCTGTTTATTGAAGCTCGTTAACTCAACATAAGAACTTTCAACTCGCAATACCACGAGGCATGCATGCAGCAGCTCCGCTATGAAGGCAGTTCAGGGCGACTTTCTGAGACGACCGGCAAAACTGATCGATGGAGTGTCCAGCTTGTGATGGATGACGTCGTCCCCACCTCTGGTGACCGGTGCCAGGTCATGAGTCCAGCCTCGTCCTCACCCCTGGTGACTGGTGTCAGGTCACGTGTTCGACCTCGTCCTTACCCCGGGTGACTGGTGTCAGGCCACGTTTTCGACCTTGTCCTTACCCCAGGTGACTGGTGTCAGATCACATGTCCGGCCTGGTCGCCACCCCCTAGTGACTGGTGTCAGGTCACGTGTTCGAACTCGTCGCCACCCCTGGTGACCGGTGTCAGGTTACGTGTCCGGCCTCGTCCCCATCCCGGGCGATCGGTGTCAGGTCACGTGTCCGGCCTCGTCCCCATCCCGGGTGACCGGTGTCAGATCACATGTCCAAGCTCCGGGCGGCGTCGCTGACATGCTGACCGGACGGCCGACGCCCGGTGTCGTCAGCTCCAGTGGCGTCGGCTGGCCAGGTTTTCGGTCATAAATCGCTCTATTATAAAGAGCTGTGTCGCAACATATTTCACGTATGTACATGCATTCGATTCTATGCGATGCGGCTTTCGGTATGGCAAAACGGAAGTGACAACGGAAAACATATTGGAGTGGCAAATGGACTCAAAGCCAAATAAAGCCGGTGGGCTCATTCGTCGTGCATCAAGTATACGAGTTCTGATTTATTCAATGGTGCTGTACGTTTATCATCATTGCGATTTTTTCTCTAAATTAGTAGCACGTATTTCAATACTTTTTCACCGTGAGCCAGCCTTTAAATCGCGAAAATTCGCCACTGATGACTCAGTGTGTGGATGGTGGGTCCGTTTCCCTGCGCTACAGGGAATGAGAATGGGATCTCAGGAAGTGGAGACTAAATTGCGGAAGGTACGCATGCGGTGCGCTAGACAACACGCTGGTAGCCCTAACAAATGTTAGAAACTGGCATGGTTTACGTCTAAAGTTGCCCAAAGCTGCCCAACAATAAATCGTAAAATGGAATTTATGTGCTAAAGCGTTAGCAAAAGTTGCATACATCCAACACCTACCGGTTAAGCATACAAATAACGCTGTCAAAAGCTCGACTGGCTGGGAAATGCAGTGCAGTGCTATTTTAAACTGACCACTTAGCTACAACATTCCCACTAGTTTACGTTATACAAGCTTCACCGATCGCCCTAGTGGTTAACGAGTCTGCGTTAACCACGACGCGTTATACACTGCGCGTCTGGGAAACCAGAGGTACGGGGTTCGATTCCCCACAGTGCCCGCCCTTCTTGCCATGGTGAGATGCAGGCGACGCCATATAGCCTCAGCAGCTGAGAGCGTCGTAAAGTCCCAACGACACACACACTATCGCCTTCGCGGAATTGACGCCTAAACAAGATCAAACCTAAGCTTTGCCAACTACCCTCTAGATGGCAGCAGGTACCTCCACGTGCCGCTCGTGCCACCGAGCGACTTTTGTCACGTGCCACTTGGCAGAGGGCGCCGCCGCCAGGCGGAGCACAGTGACCGTTTCGCTTACCGCCCCCGAGGCCCCACACAATGAGCGTCGGCGTAAAATTGGCCGCGCCGCTGACGCACCCCGGGTGGTAATGGAGCGCACGGTTCAGCGCACCCGACGGCTCGTTTGTGACTTGGACGCTTGTCCGAGGCGGTTTTTAAGCCGGCGGTTCTGACAAATCGCCCGGATTCCCCGAACCGGTTTCAGCGTAGTTACAGCGTTTGGTGGACCGTTCTTGCTGTGCTTCCGATGCGTTTTCTCGAGTCGAGTGGTGAGCTGACAAATGTTGGAGACGGTTGTTGACTTCCGCTTTTGCGGTGTTTTTATAGGAGTTTTTTTTCACGGCGCGATGGTTACCTAGAACGGCTGAATGGAGACAACTAGCGGTACAGGGGTGCCTTCTCAGCTCTTGAATAGTGAAGATACGAACTGAATATTTCCATAATATCTATTCTAACTAAACTGAACCCTGTAAATCTTACAAAATAACGTCTAAAGTAAGAAAAGAACAACAAATTTAAAGGTCCATTTAAAAATTTATATTTTGGGCTCTATCGCAGTCTTCTTCGAATCGCAGCGGACCGCCTGTCGCCAAGTGATATCCGAGAACACGGGCCCCTCAAGGACAATGTAGTTTAGGTGACAGCACGCCGCCCTGTTTCGAAAATGTAGTGCTGGAGACTCTTGGTGACCTGAGGACCCTCACCTTTCAAACAATACAAGATCGTGATGAATCGGAAATAAAGCCGATGAGATGTAGTGTCGGGTGATAAGAGTGGTGGTCGGCGGATGAGGCTGATGATACTCCACGCGATGAGCAGAGACCGACACATCAGTCTCACCCGGCCGTGTGTCGTATCTCATTACCGGTACTGAGAGCTGTCGTCTGTAGAAGCGTCTTACTTGAGCCTGTCTGCCCGCCTCTGCGCCAGCGTCGGGTGTTGCAACAGGATATCGGTCTCACCGGAGACTGTCTCTGTTCTCAGCGCCAGTACCGCGAGCTGAGACCAACTCAGGTGTCGGACGCGGAGAGACGGCGCGAGCAGCGGATGAAGCAGGCGCAGAAGAAGTCGGCGTAGCGGGGCCACACTGCTCTCATCTCGTCGTTCGTCATCACCATCATCATCCGCGCCAACTCTCGCAGGCTTCCAGACCCTTTCCGTCGGCTTGGCTCAGCCAGAGTTATATTTCTCCGCGTCCATGTTGTTCATGCTGTCACGCAAGTCTTCTGCACATCTGCCGTAGTTACTTCACTTGACGGAATTTAAAGCTACGTCGAAGACCAAAGTTTCACTGGTTCATTTGTTCTTTCCATAGCTCGGAGTGCATTTTAAGCGTGTTTTATGTTGAGTGCATTATTGTGTTGTTCAGAATGAGTTTTTCGCAGGTACACGTATGTTTTCACTGGCTGTATCAGACCACTTTGCTGTATGCCGTTCTACGAGGGAACAAATATTGCTTGACCATTGTCAGCAAACTCGGTACTTCACGATATTAATTGAGCAAAGCACCCGTTGCCTTGTAGGGCGGCTCCGTGCTGGCTTCATGCTGTACAGCTCCCCTCGTTCCTAGTTAAGAAACACCATCTTTTTGCATTCCTGTGCTCCCGTTTGACTTCACCTTCGAACCGGCTCCGTCATTTTCCAAGGCGCCAGGGTAGCTCTAGTCATGGACCTAATCTCAAGACGTTCAGGGTCGCAGTTTTTGGTGGCATTGTCTGTCATCACGGTTCGGTATTGCTTTTTTGGTTTCACGGTTCACGTTCGTGATCAGTTTCGTGTTTCGTGGTGGGTGGTTCCATGCCCTGCTGCGAGTGGTTCAGTGCTCAGTTGTCGTTGGTTCAGTGCCATCCGTTGATGGCTCGCAGTCCAGTTGACGGCGGCCCATCACCCTGTCTTCGGTGTTCTGGCATCCAGTTGTCACTGATCCAGTGGCCAGATGCCAGTGGGTCCGCGTCCCATTGTTGTACTGCAGTGCCCGTTTGTCGTTGGTTCAGTGTCTGGCTGTGGGAGGTTCAGTCCCAAGTCAGCAGTAGTTTAATCGCCCGAATGTCAGTGACTTAGCGCCGCCTCCGCGGCTGGGAGTGAGAGACACAGCGCTCGCCCGCGCTCGCGTCGGGCTTCGTCCGCCGACCCGGCACCGCACCGGCTCACACCTCCTGGGGCGCTCCTCCGCCGCGCCGTCACTGTGACTGGGCAGCTTCAGACGGAGAGGGGCGGGACCGGTGCTGGCTCTGCCGCCCCACCGTCGGGGCTGCGAGCAGCACCGTCAGAAGACCCCAGACAGCCGCGGCCAGAGGCGGAGCACTTGGCTTGTGGCTCACCTCTGGAAAATTGCCGATGTTGATGCCCCTTCGCTCAGCGAAGGTCGGCTTTCTCCGGTCATCTCCTTCCTTCTTTTGGTGGGCTCGTGGTGTGGCTCGTGCCCCTCTCACCGCTTCCGAGAGCCAGCCACGTGCAATACGGCTGTTAAGCGGGCTGATTGTGTGCCATGCGTGATGCGTGTGGCTGTAAGTGCAGGTGTAAGGCTCGTTGCAGGCGTTTAATGGCTTCCGTCCTTTGGAAATGTGTCCTTGATGGCGTTGTGGCTCGTGGTAGGCTTGTCATTGGCTGTATAAACTAGACATGTCTCTGTCATTCCCGGGGGCGCGTAGACTGCTCGCAGTGGAAGTGCCCATCGACGCCGTTGATGCATGTGGACATTCCCAGAGCTTCAACGGGGCGTCGCAAAAGTCTGACGGTATTTTTGCGTTCGATGTTACAGTGCTGGTCGTGATTTTGGTGCCTTTGATTCATGTTGATACTGGGGGGTAAAGCGACTGGAACATTTGCAATATGATCTGGCCTCCTCATAACATGTTCACTTTGTCAACTCCCGGCTTTTTGACCTGATTAAAGGTAGTGTGAATGCTTCACCGTACAACCAAAACAACCGTGATTCTACACGCTAGACATGTTTTGACCAGCAATAGCAGGCGAAATGCCACGGCACGAATATTCTCCGTTTCCGCAAAATCAGTCAGGCATTGAACGACAGCGGATATTGGCCATCGCAGCAGTCAGCTAGCTCCCTCGCAGTCCACGGCAGCCAGACGCCCCGTACTCCCAGCCTCCCACGGTCAGGCCGCCGCCGCCGGCGCGGTGCCTGACCCCCGCGCTGCTCTCGTCGTGTCGCTCTGTGTGCCAACGTGTCGGCTGCTCGGCCGCGGTGGAGGGGTGTCGGGTGTACACGCGCTGTGAGGAGCCGCGCCGCGCTCCGCGGCTGTCGGGTGTCGGATTCTTGCCGTCGGGGCGGTGTCGACCCAGCTTCGGGCCGCCGCCGGCCGCGTGCTTGGCATTACCACATCGATAATAAACGACAATAAGCGATGTGTGAATTGTGTTTTGGTGGGACAGCTTTGAAGTGAGGAAGACGGGTTGGTCGGGAAGCAGGCTGCTATTACGAGGCGCGGGAACAATGCTCACACTTGGCTTGCGGGGCGATATAGTCGGACGCATTACATGCCACATGCAGTGAAGCAGCCGGGATTCCGAAGGCACCGCGCTTCCGTCGAAATGAAGTGAGCGCCGCATAGTTGAACAGAAACACGTGATGATGACGCATGTAGTGTTAACCATCTAATATACTTTAGATGTGTGAGACAAGCAGTACGATGTAAGCCGGGACGAAATGAGGGCGAAATATTAGATGGAGCAACGAAACCACACGCCCTCGACAATAGATAACAGTAGGTATGGCCAATCCGTTGCGAAGCCCTCGCATTGGAAAGGCACCTTTCAGACCTTTCCACAACCATCGATGAGCGGCGATTTGCAAAAGCTTAATCAAATTTAATCTTTAGACTTGTTGGTTGAAGGAGCCATCAACCGAATACCATGGCGGAGACAAGCTTGATTGGTTTTGATAAGCATGCCAAACCAGTATTTTTCAACTGAGTCCACAGTTAAGCTCAATAACTTTAACGAAGCGTCGAAGTGCAGGCGACAGCAAAGAAGTAAAAAAAAAAATGCTGGGTATCCCCGCGGTGACTAACCCAACATGTATTTGCCATCGATCGCAAACAACACATCGGCATTCAGGGAAGCTTCCTGAACGGATGATGAGAAGGCCAACTGTCTTCCCCAGATTCTTGGGAAAGTTTATCTTCAACGGATAGAATTGCTTAAAAATGACCGGATAGTCTGGTAGTCGAGTCAGATTTGGTATCCCCCATTGGACGAGACCGACAAATTTGTACAGGGGCGAGGGAACTAGGGAGGTTAGAGGGTGATTACATCACGAGCTTTCTGAGAATTTGACATCGGCTCAATGGACGTACGGTTCATGGACGTGGGTCGGAAATAAACTACCAAAAATAGCTGCGAGTCCCCCAAATTTGAGGAAATTATCATCGCACAGGAATTTTGGAGTGATCACAATTTTAGCTGCTACGACCAAACCACCGTACAACGCATGTGTTTGGAAAATACATTGGTTACAATAAACACGTCCACATGCTTGTGTAATTTCATGGCCAGATTTGTCTGCTTAAGCCGCAATAGCTTGTATTTGAGGTCGGCGTCGGCAAACGAAACATAGTCAATATCTGACGCACACGACGATGTGCATACGACACACACATACTATGACACACACACAGACACATAGACACATACGATCTGACACACACATACTATGACACACACACAGACACATAGACACATACGACCTGACACACACATACGACGTACGGCTTTGGTGTTCATCAGCGAGTGGTAAGCGAGACGTGCAGTTGGCGTCAAGTCTTCGTCACCTTTGATTGCCGCAAGATGACACTAATCTTAATCAACGCCTCCAAATCGGTGAATCCATGGTTGTCACACGAAGTCGCGTGACCGTCTGCAGACGTTGACCCAAACTTTTGATTGCTTGATTTCTCTTCCGTCGGAATCCATAAATTTTGAGTCGCTGCCAGCGGATTAGCCAGACTGTAACTACGGGGTCGCATTGGGACATCGCCATTTTAAATCAAAACACGCGATTTTGTCCAACTGCTCCACTGGCCACTGTCGTCCCTGCTTCTTTGCTAAACTTTTATCGTGGTAAACCAGCTATAGTGTGGTTGGATTGGTTGTTGGCGTGTGCCATAATTTTTGTCTCACCTTTTTGTCATTTTTTGGTACTTTCACTGGTCATCAGATTGCACGGTCCGGGAGAAAAAAACCGATCGCGGTCCTTGTTCTGAAGACTTAACGGGAGTTAGCTTTTCGTAGCAGAAAATCAGATTTTTACACAAAAGCTACTAATTATTATGCTTTCATGTGAAGCTCATAGCATAATCGCATTTCACATAACACGAAGCGCCGCAGTTAAAAAGTTTGGTCCGTAAATTGGTAATTATTTGTATGCAAGCTGTCGCACCAGCTAAGATAAAAGCGCAATATTCTCAAACTGCGAAGAAGCTGAAGGACACGGATCGAAACTGGGTCCGGACATCGATAACCTAAAGGTGCGACGACAGACAACTAACGTACTCCAACAAAAGAGAAACCGGACATCTGCATTGGCAAAATTGCTGTTCGTTGCGTCATCGCTAGTCAGACGATAGCTTGCGCGCTCTTGAGCGCAAGGTATAGGTTGCAACTCGCTGGCGGATCTCAGGGCTCTCCGATCGAAACGGAAGCCAGCGGGCGACGGGAAAGACTCCAATGTCACTTTTTGCTTGGTTTAGGCGGGGTATATCACTTGCAAGACGCTGTGGCCAGAACCTCTGGAGATTGGTCCGCGAGCCTGCACGGGCGCGTGCCACTGTTCATTGTGAACATATTGACCCGAAATAGTTGCCACTTGTGCACTACTTTGGTTACAACCGCTCAAGATGCAAAACTCTCCACAGTTTCATCGGCGGGAAGTTTTAAGGCTGGCCCGTCCATACTTAATCGATTTCCAAGCATCGTTGCTTGTGAAGTAGCACGTGAGTGCCATAACAGTGAACCTCCACCTGTTGAGCTTTCATAAAAGGCAGACTTCCCAACAAAATTGTCAGATCCACTGGCCTGGGCTGCCAAAAATGGCTGGCACCAATACGTTAGTTTTGACATCATCTACACGACAATTAATAACTGCCACGTCTGTTACCGCCTCGTTTGTCCCGTGCCGCACAGGGCACCTTAATGACTGTAAACACAGGAAATGATCCGAAATATTTGATCTTCAAGGATCCAAATGAAACCGACCCGTGTAAGCGAACGACCAGCTGTCATTGCGCTGGGCGGAAAGTGAAACCCCGTACAGGTTCTTCACACTTCCCATTGCCTTGGAGCGTGGAACTCGAACAGCATGACGATTTCGCTACATGCTTGAACAGCTTCATTGTGCGGCTGCAAAGTTTAGGCGCAAGTTTAAACGATGGAACGCGATGCTTCCTCCAACACGAACTAACCACATATAAGCTGGATAGGAACGCGATAGGATGGTGAACTTGTCTACAGCGATGCCAAGACGTTGCTTCTCACCCACTTCCATCGCTGAAGGGACCACCACCCTGTCATGGCGTGTATCTACTGAAGCGACAGCAGCTTTCTTATGGTCTTGGCTGACCGCATCTACCGGCTGCAGCCAACCACTCGGTGGCGTGGAAAGCAAGCGTCGAAGCCGTGTCCCCTCAGTGGCGAGCGTTCCCCCTGCGGTCATCGGGGTCAGTGCGGCTGCCCCAACTAAACACCACATCGTCCACTGGCCGGTGTCGCGCGAGGCGCCGCTGTCTCCCTGTCAGTGCAGTGCGCCGAGCCTCGGTAGCAGTACCGGCACCGCTCGCCGAGCCCCAGGACCCTCCTGCGCCACACCGCCATGTGGTCGGTCCCGTGTCTGCTGCTGCTGGTGGCGCTGGCGCCCGTCGCGCTGACGTACGAGCGGGCGCCAGCAGCGGGGTACGGCGCCGGTGGGCGCCGGCTCATCAACAGAGAGCGGGACACCTGGCGGAGCGCAGCACGGTCGTGGCCGTCGGTCGACGGCGGCGACGGGCGGGAGGCGAGCCGCCGCCGGCCGGAGCAGCTCGACCGGCGGCGGCCGGCCGAGCCGAGCCGCTACGCCTCGCGCTACGAGGCCCGGCGCTGGCAGCGGCGGCCGGCCATCGAGCCGACGCCGGTGACGCGCGCGCCGACCACCTACAACCCAGCCGAGCCGGCGGTGGAGACCACCAGCCCGCCGCCCGACCGGCCGGACGGCCGACGCTCGCCACTCCGGCGACCGGTAGCCGCGGCGGACGCCCGTCGGCGACCTGCCGACCCCCACCGGCGCCGCGAGCAGGCCCGAACGCGTCCGAACGCCGGCGCCGACGCGCCGAGACGCCGGCCGTCGGCGGAGGCCCCCCTGCTTGACGGGCGCTTCCCGTCGCCCGACGCCGACCGTCCCGGAGCCGCCGAACTCAGCGAGGAGCTGCGGGAGGACCGTACTGTAACACGCCAGGGGAAATGTGAGTCAGCAGCAACCTCACCTCGTGAAAAGTCAAGGTTATCAGGTCAGATTTTTGGCCTCAAAAAGCGGGCAGTTACGATCGCGACCCTCCTCCAGGACCTCACAAAAAGACCATCGCGGGCAATGACGCGAAAAAGCGCGTCATGGAGGGAAGACGTCGGTAGTTAGTTGCCTTCAATTGATCATGACTGGCGGTATACGCTGGAGTGTCCGGCCGGGGCGCGTCTGTTCGGGTGATGGATGAACGGGCAAGGTCAGCATGCCCGCACCTGGCACTGTATCCGGGAGACGCGCCAGGCCGGTCCTCCCGCGCGCCAAGCGGAGCGTGATGACTCCCACCCGTGGAGATCAAGATCGACTGTTTCCGGACATGACATATGAGCGGTGTCTGCTAACTCCGCCCCATCAGAACCTTGACTCAGTAACTCATCTCAGTACATCGGGAGCAGACAGGACAAAGAGGTGGTTGCCGGCAGGAGCCTGCTTTTGACGGAGTTGCGTTGTGTGATGCGTCTGTTGAACGACTCTCAGTGTTTCAGCTGACTCGCATGCACTGGTACATTACGGTACAAGGTGTCGGTTGCGCAACCAGCGTCTGCTGAAAATTATTAAATGAATCGTGCTGGAAGCGTTCAAGCGATTGCTTGTAAATTCTGAAACAGAGTTGTGTTGGCGTCAAGTTCGTACGTGGCTCAAACTGCTGCAAGTCACTTCGCGCTATTAGCACTCTCCCACAACGACTTAGTGACATAAGAGCGACCTGTTTACCCGACTTGTATTGGGCATCAATGACTTCAGCATCAAAATTGCGAGCCAAACTAATGGTTCCTGCTCAGATACCTACGCGGTGCGATTTAGGAACTATGCATGTTATATTCGTGCTTGGGGCTGGCTGTTACAGTTAGGCCATGGCAGTAAGTATTAGCTTGTTAAATAGTTTAGGGTTGAAACTACCGTGCTAGTGTTTTTCATAACGACGCTCTAGAAGCTAGCTAATTATGGTTGATGTTATAGCATTACTACCTAAAATTGATAACGTCATAGTGGATACACGCAGACATGAATGTTGTCATCACATTTGATAATAACCAACACACTCAGGGGCGTAAGCAGGATTTCACAATGCGGGGAAAGCGCGACTTAAAAAAATCACTGAAAACAAAAATGCGCGCGCAACAGTCACGCATATTTTCTTACGTGTCGTAAAATAGCATCATCCGCACATGATTTTCATATCTTTTTACGTGTTATCCACGAATATGTAATGGTCAACACCTGGATCGCGTACTTCTCAGCACGCGCCATACCTTGGTAACGTGGGAGACTCATCCCCCGAGGACTACGTGCTCAATGTCCTGGTAACGAGGCACTTACTCTTTTTTAAGCCCGGGGAAAGGCTTTATGAGAGGCTGTGTATCTGCCCTTGTCAAAACGTTATATTGCCAGTCACGGGCGCAGAAGTAATTGGTACAGTGTCGGAGTTCGGCCCAGCTGTGTCATTTCTATCCCACGCTTCAGCCATCGGAATACAGCCTCTTGACACGGTCTGACCGCTGAACCGGCCCACTTTAGTCACCCAGCGGCGCCCGGCCCGCTTCAGCTCTTCCTCTGCTGACTCTGGCCGGCTGTAGCTCTGTCCCTTCTGACTCTGACTCACTTCGATTATGTCCCTGCTGATTCTGATCCGCCCTATCGCTGTCCCTGCCGACTCTGGCCCGCTTCAGTTCTGTCCCTGCTAGGTATGGCCGGCTGGAGTTCTTTCCCTGCTGACCTCTGACCCGCTGCAGTTCTGTCCCTGCTAACTCTGGTCGGCTGGAGTTCTTTCCTTGCTGACATCTGACCCGCTTCAGTTCTGTCTCTGCTGACTCTGGTCCGGTTCACCAACTTCGTGTGCAACGGAACGTCTGGCTCCAACGGCACGTGCTACACGGCCGCCCAGTGCTCCAGCCTCGGGGGAGTTGATGAAGGCAGCTGCGCCGAAGGGTACGGCGTCTGCTGCGTCAGTGAGTTCACACTCAGTCCGCGTGCAGTAAGCACGCGGCACACGCCTGGCAAACACACTGCCGGTCCGCATGTCTACGCCGCGACTGCGTCTCGAGTGCGGTCTGTCAGTCGTGACCTGGTGTACAGTGTGGATGAGTTTAGTCATTAGAAAGATCATGTGAGTGCGTACTGATAGACTGGAGGAGCAGATTGCACGAGGGAGCAGCGAGTGTTCGGACCGCGCTGTTTTCTTCACAGGATCTGCTATGCGATCTGTCATTAATAATTCCGGTACTAATGCGAAATATTTTGCTTTGTTGCTGAACCATATTGAAAAACGGTCACTAAAAAACAAAGGTTGAATGATGCTAAGAACGTTGTCGTGCGATATGCAGATCACCGAACGATGCCATGACATTTGAAGAATGCGGCGCCAATTTCACATCACCGGTGATGCGTGACATGTGGGATCAGTGGCGTTTGTGAGCCTTGATTTACTCACGGTCCGTTGGCATCGGCTGGCGCGTCGATTTGACCCTGCGCTGACACTTGCGTCACCAGTAATGAAATCTTGTGGTGAGACGACCAACGTCAACAACACCTATTTCGTCAACACTAACTACCCGGCGTCGTACGATGGAACGGGCTCGTGCCAGCTGCAGATCACCAAGGCCAGCTCCAACATCTGTCAGCTCAGGTGAGGCCGGTCTTCTGCTCAGGTGAGGCTAGTCTTCTGTTCCCAGATGGAGTCTGCAGCGACTGCGGAGGCTTGTAAGGAGCGTATGCGCTGCGGGGTTGTGGATCCAGTGGTTGTCTACCTAGTGGTGACCGGATGAGGGTTTTGTGGTTGATAAGTTCTTGCAGAAATGTAAATTTAATGGCGTGTTCGATCAGTATTAAATCAATTTTTCAGGTTTTGGAATGACGATCGTAGGACGCCACCTAAGCAAGCAGCGAGTGTCCTGTGCGAAGTCATGCATTCCTTTTACAAGTGCCGTTAATTACGTTAGAAAATCTTATGAAACATTTTTCAGATTGGATTTTGACATATTCACCATAGCGCAACCAGAGACGAGCAACAATTTGTGCCTCAATGACCAGTTCGTGGTGGATGCCGCTGCTCCAGTCCCTTCACTTTGTGGAACCAACACTGGAAATCACAGTAAGTATGGTTAGTCTGTATGACACAGTTATCTAAATTATCACTTTGCTTGTTGTTCCCATCATGTAGCTAAATCAGCATTAAGCTGCTCCCAAAGCATGCAGCAAAATGTGCTTTTAAGATGGTTGTTGATATAACATACAGGGCATGCGTATTTTAACAAGGATGGAAACGTAAGGACACACGCACGTTTAAAATTGGTTTTGCACGCTAAACATTCCTGTGACATTCAAGAACATTTCGAACGCACTAATAATCTTTTTTCCTTCCGAATGCACAGAAAGGGGTGGACGCAGAGCGAGTCTGAGTACCATTGTTGCTGTCTAAATCACTGACATCCGTGACGAAGGCGCCGCAACCAAGCATAAGTGGGTAAACGCATTCGCATACCGATACATGCGAGCGATCGGCGCTTCGCCGTAGCCTCGCACGCATCGCTAACGCCTACGCGCGTTGGCTCGACAGAGGAGCCTGGGGCAGCCGGCACTAAATCGGAGATGCGTGTTACAGTGTACATCGTTAACGCCTGCGCGCGCTGGTTCGGCAGAGGAGCCTGGGGCGGCCGGCACTAACTCGGAGGTGCGTGTTACAGTGTACATCGACGCAGGCGTGCAGGGCACCGATTCACCCATCACCCTGTCCATCGTCACATCGGGCACCTCGTTCGCCCGCACGTGGAAAATCCGCGTCTCGCAGATACACTGCAACGAGCTGTACACAGGTGAGCCGCGGTGGACTGAAAAGCCCAAAAGTCGGGGGGGGGGGGGAGGGGGCATGGGTGGACTAATGTCTAGGTAATCCAAAGATATCTGGTTTGGATTTTATAGCACAACCAATGATCTTCTACAGCAGGTCAGTCTAAATGATTTACATCAAATAAGAAGGAAAGTTCCGATTTTCCGGAACACAAAAGGCGTTTTTGGTGTAAAATTGTCACCATATCGCGGTGTACATCATGCCGGAGTCCAGCCACCTACCATTGTTTGGCCACGGGAAGGTGATTATAGTTAATCCGGATGTTTTAGTTGCTTGGGGACCGCCATTCAATATTGACTTCATGCGCAATCCCATACAGTTGATGTGCGCCGTTGGGGGTTATTACGTAGGCGTGCACATTCTTCTAGTTATGCATGTTCGAGCGCTATATCTATAAATGTGATTGTTACATTCTTTGCGCGCACTGCAACCAATGATGGGGTAACACAAGGATGCCGGTCTCCAGGTGTGTGCGAGCACTCGGGCGTGGCTTCCGCCAGGGCCACGTAACAGTCCGTTCTTAACTAACGCATGCAGCTTGCCCCGGAGAGACGGGGGGGGGGGGAGGTCACGTCAAATTGGCCCCTTCCGGCCACCAACGGGCACTTCAAAACTATGGATTTCAGGAGAGCGGTGAGCGGTGGGCAGCATTGTGTGGTCAACGCCGACTGTCACTGCCTCTGTGTCGTACCCCGCACCGGGACCCGCCTGCGAGGTCTGTGCGGGCGCTCGGGCGACCACCCGCGCCGGCGGCCGTCATCAGCCAACGGCTGACGGCCACGGCGTGCTCCCGCAGAGCATCTCAGGCTCTAGAACCGAGCGGCCGACGAGCCGAGCTGGGCGGATGGTTTGTCACAGCCAGGGTCAGAGGCTGTCTCGTTTGCTCCAGTGCAGCTACGTCTGTAGTTATCAAAAATAGGCCACGAAGGTCATGACGTCCCGTCACCCGACCGTGCATGACAAACTGGTCGACCATGGACCCGGACGTAGGATTATCGGATGAATCGCTCAAAGCTTTGCCCGACAATAGTTTGCTCTCCCCCCCCCCCTCCCTCCCCCCCCCCCTGTGTCGATAGGTGCGCGACCGGCTATGAATCAGGTTAGCAATCACGCCGGCGTTCTGTGGCTCCTCGCATGCCTGCCCAAGCGTTACTGGATCCTCAGGCCTCACGATGAGTCAGCACAAACGATTGGATCATCAATTTTACCAAAACCTCCAGTTGCTGGGCCATATCATGTTCCAGAGCTTTACCCAACCGAACTGGCTGTGAGAAAACCGAGGCATTTGCAAACAAAAGGCTCTACAACAAAACCGCGGTGTCACAGAGTTGAACTCCGGATGCTTTTGAGGCAGAAGTGTCATCCTGAATGACACCTCAAGGGGTCTTCCACCGACGATTGTATTTCACTGCTTAACAGTTTGAATGGTAATAATACATATATGTTCCTGGACGTTAAGAGTTTTGTACTTTTTTGACGTGTTAATCAAAAGTCTTGAAGTCGTCAACGCACATGTGGGCAGAGTAAAAATGACCCAATATCGTTCTGCGTTCACAAACCATGTTTCAGTCTTCTACCAGCAGCTGCCGGGAATGCTGACCATTTAATGCATTCTCAGGCAGCGTTCCCTAAAGGAGCGTTGCCAGGCCTCAGGTTTGGAGAGTTCTGCAAACACAACACCTCGCAGGAGCCTGACGCGTTAGCGGGCGCCCATCACAACCGCCGCCACACTCGGCGTGTAGTGGATTTTGGACTGGTCACGGTGGTTTGGAACTCTTGCAGCCGGCCACGAGGCACGCGCGTGTGCACGAGGCGTGCCGACGCAGGGTTCGAGCTGGGTATTCAGGAGTCGCTCACCCCGCCATGATGACGGTCACGTTTGGTTCCGCCACGCGTGTGCTGGCGGGTCACGTGCCACGACAGGAAGAACGAAGAAGTCCTACGCAGCGATTTGGGTGCCTCGATAAAAAGTTGTCACTTAGCGAGGGACGTGGTTAGCTACTTAGTTAGTAGGCACTCCAAGAAATCCATGCACGCAAATGCAGGTGTTGGTGCACATGATAATTTCATTATTTGTCAATACAAAGAATTCATTTGTTGCGAGCATATCGTTTGTTAATTGCGAGTATGTCTTTTGACGGTACTAAATCCGGTTACAAAGTCCGAAGCTTGGTCACTGCATACATCTGAACAGAAAAATCGACCAAAACAATTTTGACGATAGAGTCTTTTGCTGCTTGCGTTTCTAACTCACATCGCATGTGACCGGTAATATTCTTTTTGAACGATGTCCGACCTGAATGCAGTTCTCATTGTGAACGATGGATGGGGAGAGCAAATAAGCGCCAATCCCAGCAGGCTACAGCACGCTGTGTACAGTTACCAATGCCCAACGGAAAGGTTCAAACTTAATGCATTTTATGAAATTGAAAATGTGACGAAACACGGGATTACACGGGGCACGGGAGTAATTAGCAGTGTTTCAATTTTTCCCGGCGGCGAAGGGCATGCAAATGCAATTTTACTATTAGACCAGACCAGACTTGCATGATTGTAGACCTTGCCCTAGGCATTGAACATAAAATCTGAGTTCTACTGACGTGAGCATAGTGATCTCCTTGGCTCCATGAATGACGCATGTCAAACACGTCATATTTATAACAAATGCCATGCCATTGGCGTATAGCGCCTTCAATTACAGATTTTTTCACGAGCACTTCTCTAAAAGATACCCTGCCCTTGAGTGTAACCATGGGTGATCACACCGTGCTCAAAATAAGCCCTATGCTAAATAAACCATAGTGCATCCATATTCCGGAAATGTATTAGTTTCATTGTATATACATACAGATCCATTCTCCTTCTCTCCCTCTCTCACTAAACCTCATTTCCACTCTTCATCTCTCTGTCGAGTACCATAATAAGGTGAAGTATTACCCTCAAAGAGCATGCGACCATTTAGATTGCCATTCATATATTACGTGCCGCAATTTCCACGGCTACTTCTTTTGATTTCAGCCGAGCCCAGCTGTTTGCAGTACCACACGGGCGTATCAGGAAAGATACAGTCATTCAACTTCGACTTTACCAATGGCAACCAGCTCTCCAACCAGGACTACGCCATCTGCGTGCGCATGGAGCGTAACTTCTGCGGCATCCAGTACCAGCCCTGTACCGACGCTGGTGAGTTCCGGTTTACACATCCAAGCGATCGTCTTGCCACCGATCCGCCACCATTCGTATTCATATGCGCGCCGTCCAGGCTCCTCTCAATATCAGTTGAAGGCGGATAGAGCTCGCAAATCGATGGCGATCAGTGTGAGCTCATCCTGTGCGTACTGCAACTGTTGAAGCCGGAACCGCTGACGTCCCACAGCCAATGGGAACACTGCGTCCTTCTCGCTGGGGGGCAGCACGACAGCGGTGAACGCCGTCACCGGCAGCAGCTGCAGCACCGACTGGCTCATCATCCCCTGCGCCACTGGTTAGTACAGCATCATCCCCTGCGCCACTGGTTAGTACAGCATCATCCCCTCTGCCACCGGTTAGTGCAAAATCATCCCCTGTGCCACCGGTTAGTACAACATCATCCCCTCTGCCACCGGTTAGTACAGCACCATCCCCTGCGCCACTGGTTAGTACAGCATCATCCCCTCTGCCACCGGTTAGTGAAAAATCATCCCCTGTGCCACCGGTTAGTACAGCATCATCCCCCGCGCCACCGGTTACTACAGCATCATCCCCTGCGCCACTGGTTAGTACAGCATCACCCCCTGCGCTGCCGGTTAGTGCAAAATTATCCCCTCTGCCACCGGTAAGTACATCATCCCCTGCACCACCAGCTGACAATGGAGCCATTTCATTTACGTGAAAGCTAAGCGTTGGTGCATGACCGGGCAGCAATTCGTCTGATATCTAGACGCATATCCGCTAAGCAGTGATCGCTTATTATGATGCGGGATGCTTGGCATACTGTGAGATGACATTTAGCACCCACTGTCCGGTCTTAAGAAGAACAGAAAGCACCAACGCTCTGAGGAGGGCAGGAATTCATGGCTAATATCACTCTGAACCCATTCCGCCGTCACGACACCGAAGTCCGCCTGATCCGCCTCCACGAGCCTGCGGCGGCCACCGCCGACCCCTGGCCGTGCTCCGTCCAGTCTCGCCCAGCGCTCTGCTCGAGCACGGCCGTGACCTGTCCGTGACCCACAGACAACGTGAACACGCCGCTGACGACGATGAGCGACGGCAACGTGTGCGTGGACCGGCTCTGCGGCGACGTGTTCAACACGGTGTCCGGCTCCACCACCTCGGCCGCCGCCTACAGTACGTGGACGGCGGGTGCGGGCGGGCGTCCGCTGTGGGTGTCCGCCGTCGAGCCACCGCGGCTCCGGGCGCGGTCAAGTGCAGCGTCGTGGCGCGTGGTACTGTGGCGCTGTTCCGCGCGGTTAGACTCCCGTGAATGTTCTCTTATGTTTTAGGTTGGTGCGTTGAACTGTTTGCGTGTTAGTGTTTTTTTTTAAATTGGCTTCATTCTGCCTAAGAAAGTAACCGGCATTGGATCGTTGCATTAAAATTTGAGATGCTCGCTGCCGCGCGGCCACCCTCAGAGCAGGGTATTGAAGCGCTGGGGGTGCATTCGTCACTTCAAGCCTGCTGGCCGTACAGGCGCACGCGCGCGTGCGTCTGCCGCTCCGTAATAGCTCCGCACGGTGCGCTGCAGGCTTCACCAAGCCGTTCCGGCTGTACTACCACACGGACTCGCAGGAGGCGGACAGCTCGCCGGCTGAATCTGACAACCGCGGCTTCTGCCTCGACTACGTGCAGCAGCCCTGCACTTCGTGAAGGGCCGGAGGGGCGCCTCGCCGACGCACTGCTTCAGCGGCTCCGCACTGACCGGCTGACCAGGGCGTCGGGACGACACACGGCGCGGGCGCGGTCTCCGCCGGGCGTCAGGACGCTCTGCAGAACAATGTCAAACGAGCTGCCTGACTCACTTGTTTTGGGTATTGTGTTTGCTTTCAAGCACGGGAAAATGTGAAAGGCTACGTGTGTGTGAGCGGTGGGTGTTTGCACCCTGCAAGTTATTTAAGAGGTTTTGTGAGAAAAGAATGGAAACACTTTAATCCGTGATATTTAAAACAGTCCATGGATTGTTGCCGTTGACACGTTCCCATGGAGGATTGCAGGTGAGCCAGATTTTCCATAACGTACAAAGAGAAAACCTGCGTGTACGAGCATAAATGGACTGTTTCTTTTGAAATCGCATGAAAGGGATGGATGCTCATTGACATGATTTTCACGTATTTATTGAATTTGGCTCCCACGATGATTGCATTGCATGCTGCTTTTAACATCATGGAGCGTTATGATTTATAGGACGTGTGTTAGTGTATCTTTTAGGAGATTGCTGGTTCTTTTGCCTAACAAAATACGAAAAATGGAGAGTGCATGACACTGAGTGTAATAAAGGTAATCATTTCGCGTTTATGTTTTGGCACGTTGGTACGGGACATTGAAACAAAACACGCCGTCTCTCTTTGCCGTGTTCCCCCGGCCTCTCCACACCTTCCTCCCACCTCCACCTTTCTTCCTCTTGTTCTCCATCTTTCTTCTCCATCTCCCTCCCTCGCCCTGCCTCTCTCTCTCTCTCTCTCTCTCTTTCCCCTCTCCTCTACCCACCAAAACCCACGTCACAGGCGTCGTCGTGTGGTCTCGCCCCCATCCCTGCCGACACCGCTGAGGCACCCAAACCGCGCCGTTCCGCCGCCGTGGACACCAGAAGCTCTCTCCGTCGACGCTGATGTTCTCCATAACATCTCCCCTCTCTCCACGCACGGTCCTCCGCGCTCTGCCTGGCAGCTGCCTCTCGGCCGTCCGGACGCTCTTCCCTGTAGCGACCGAAACTCATGATGACCCGGCAGTTTTTCAGGCCGTTGACCGGGCGGTGCGTGTTTTTTGCGGCGCCGTGGACAATGCGATCGGACGAGAGGACGGACGCTGACCGTTCCCAGGCACTTCGCACCGGGCCCAGGTGGAACGGCGCCCGGCGGCTGCCACGGGCACGCCCGGGTCAGAACGTCCCGCAGAGCGGAAGCTCGCGGCCAGAGATACAGTTAACTCGAAATGGCTAGTCGGGCACGTTGCGACGATGCGTCTCGGGCTCATCGCGCAGCTTTAGCCAGCGCAAGGGCGAGGTTTGTGTGCGAGTTTATGCACTGGTATTTTGCTTAATGCTCATCACATAGGGATGAACATTTTGGATCTATCACGCATGCCGTAATATTTGCCAGCCGTCGTACATTAGAGGTGGCTGGCAATTTCTTGCAGATCACGCGTTTTGGTGCTGGCAGCTTTAAGCAACAAGTTCCGGTTCCGTAAGCTTATCCGACTCAAACAAGCTGTTTGCAACAATGTAACTTCGTTACGTGTTACACTACGCTAGTTGTAACACGAGGGCTCGGATCCAGTTTCCTTACGCAAATCCGGGCCCGGATTTCCCGTTTAAAGCACGAAACGAATAGGAGAGAGATCAATGCGATCCCCTTGCGATTTCCAATTAAGAATGATATAACCCCGCGTAGAACACCAGCAGGTTGGCCTTAGCAAGGTTTCACTATCTGCTATTACTTTGGTGTTGCTATGTCAATAATTGACCCCACTAGGCAGTGCCAAAGAACAATTTACCCCCCCCCCCCCCCAATCGTACTGCTTTGGGTTTACGTGCCAATGCTTACAAAGGCATGCAGCCCGGCAGCATGCAACCCGAACAGGCGTGCTTCTTGTTGAGTGGTCGGCATAATGGTGTTCGTGTGTATTATATTGAGCAAATCTTGAATATAGAGGAGTTCCACAACTGTAATGACGTCACCCCCCCCCCCCGCCCGTGACTGGCGGAGCCATTGGTTGCGACCGCCCCCTCCCCCCTTAGCTGCCGCGCCGCGCGAGATCATGGAATGCGCGAAGAACAAGGACCGGAGTTATGATGCGGAAATGCAACTTTTGTATAATTTTTTTGTGTAGCGTGCAAAGGATATAAAAAGCTACACTTTCCGGCAGTCGACCCGTTCCGATAACAATCAGCTGAAATCGGGGAGGTAATCCGCACAAGCTTTTCCGTGCCGAGTTTCGGATAAAAACTGTTTTCTCAGAAGTCAGAACTTTGGACGCACGTTTTTGCTGTAAAAACGCGCCAGTGAATGTCCATTGTTAACAGAAAATTAAGGGGGAGCAATTTCTTGACATGATGAAGACACATCTGCATAAAACATGGCAAGAGGGGCGGGCACCGCGGGAAACCAAGCCCTGTACCTCTGGTTTCCCATACGCGCAGCCTGACCACTACACGCGTGTCACCCAGAGCGCATAGAAATGCTGGCAATTATCCTTACTGCCGTTGATGCCAAATCGGCCCGAATGCACGACTCCTCTATAAGACCAAGCCCCACACTGCCATGCTCCAAAACCAAGCATCTCCAGGGGTTTCATGTCACTCCATCCAACAAATGGCGTCACGCAAAGCCCACGCGTCACCGCACCGCCCGCCGGCCGCGGCGACAACGGGTGCAGGTACCAGCCCGGCGCCGCTGCGCCGCGCCGAGCCGGGGCGCGCGGGACCTACCGGAACAGGCGACGTCCGGAACTGATTGTCCGGAGGCACTTCCGGGTAGGATGTCGGCTGAGGGCACACCACCGCATCTCCGGGTGGAGCGGCACGCGCGCCGGCAGAGACGGGCTCAGTGAGGACACTGGCGCCAGGCCATGGCTGGACCGCTCTGTGAGGCACGCACTTTCACTCAGCAAATCTGAGGTGCTGCCGCGCTGGAATGAATGCTTGGTCGAGTGAAGATCTTCATATAGCAAACGTCTAAGTTAAACCGGGGCATGCCATCCGATGCAAAACAACGGAACGCGTTTATTACGTTACGTTATCCCTGCTGATATTTCGGACACGAGCGCACGAACAAGAGCACGCGTTGACCATATGTTATTGCACGGACCGCGTGTGATGCACACACTCGTATGCCAGCCAGTTCCGTTGCCGGAGCCAACTCCTCTTTGTCTCGACTGGAGAGTCAGTTCGGTTACACCGCCGCTACAGAGGTTCCCCTGGTTCTGCTGGACCTGTCAACGACCAAACGGCAATTGGGAAGGGGTGAACCACTGCAGAGCGGCAAAAGGAAGACCGGCCTCCCAGCTTGGCAGCCTGGCAAGGTCTTGTGGTGTCGAGTGCGATGTTCATCCGGGAGTCCGAATGAAAGAATCTCGGAATGTTGCACAAATTGGGAAATGGAAGTTTTGCGAAAAGACGCCCACATTTAATGACGACATAAGCTATATGTTATTGATACTCTCCGCTTCCTTCTGCTCAGCGCGCATGGGGAAGACTGGGGTTGAAATATCTTCCCATTTTCACCAGGCGGTAACACTGAAATACCGCGCATTGCCGTGTATTCAATGCTGGGAACCGCTCCGCCGACTGTCATCCCACGATTAGAGGTACAAAGCATGAGGTGGGAGCTACAAAGGCAGAAATTAGAGTTAACCCAACTTTTAAATCCTCGCCCTGATTCGCCGTTTGACATAACGCGGACTGATAGGGAAGGGGGGGGGGGGGGTTGATGCGACTACATTGGTGCTTCTAAAGTAAGACAGATGGAACTTAAAGGAAAAGACCAGTGGATTGGTCTCAACGATATCTCGCGATTGATGACAATTTTCATGTGGCAAAGTCAAAGATTGACCCCATTATGCCATGGTAAAAATGAAAATTCCCCCAAATCACGCTTTTTAAGTTTTACAACCTCATACATCTGAGCTTACAACTTGTACCAACACAAAACATATCAGACGTGTTTCTTGTTCAGTTCTGAGCACAATGGTGTATAGTTTCAAGTGTTTTGACTTTATCTTTCCGACTTATGGCCTTGTTAGTGTAACAACGTCGACCAGCCCCGCGGATTCCGCGGTATCGGCGGCTGCCTCCCGCCGCCCGCGCAAGCAGTAGTTCATATTCCTCAAAAACCACCGCTGCTACGAAACCAGAAAAGCTAGAGACACATTTCTGGTGTCAAAACACGCGCAGCAAATGTCCCATGAAAGGCTGAAATTTGGGCGGGATTGCGCAGTACGACGGAGAGGTGTCCTGAAAAAGTTTGGGGAAGATGGGCTGCATCGAACCCCTGTCATAGCGAGATTATTGTTCTCATGCATTACAAGGCTTCGTACTTAATTTTCGCTACTATGTTTCGAGTAATTTCAGGTACACTAGCTACAACAACTGGTGGCTGCGCCAAAGGGGCATGGCGAGTGCCTCAAAATGCGTCATAGCTGAAGTAAGTGTCGTTATTTCCTGCTCAATAGCACTGATTTAGCGACATTTTAGCGACTGATTTAGCTGACACCATAACATCCATAGCGGGATGTTATGGTGTCTCTCTCGGGGTTAATGACGGACAGCCATTTGGCATTGCCTTTGACATCAGTGGTATTCACCAGCGCCAAGCACTACTTGCATTTGCCGAGTGTGACATAACAGAACCAACGGATCATGACTATGACTTGATGATGCATGACTCCACTAATGTGAAGAAGGCAATCAGTATACAAAACTTAAGCTCTTGCTATGCAATAAACAGCAACGTAGTTCATGCCGTGTTGGATGGAATTATTGATGTTTTCTGCCAGTGGTCGTACAGGCGCAGGCACGTTTTTTTCGATTCGTAGGGTAAATGTGAGCAAAAATTGTCAACGAAAGCTTATCAAGCCTAGCTGGTAATGCTGGCATTCTTTCATCCCCGAATAACCAGAGCATGCCTTCTTCTAAGCTAGAAGAAATCAAAGTATATATAATAACAGTAAAGCCTGTACAAATACAAGAAATATGTAACGAGAGTGGGGTCTGTATCGTTGGCAGTTAGCTTGCCAGCATCCAAGATGGTTCTGATTCCCGACCGGAATGTCTAAGTTGGCCAGACGAAAGCAACCGTTTTTTTTTTGTCTATGATCAGCTATCTCGTTATAAAGAAGAGCCCACGCCAACTTTAAGAGCGACGGTCGCCGTCACCGGGTGGCTCAAAAGCTTCCAGATGAAGTAAAATACAGCCAAGAAAGGGCAGTTAAAGGCCTGGGAAAAAACTTTAATACAAGCACGAGATTAGCTGATTTGGTTAATATGCCCAAACTTGTATGTTGGCACTGAAACATCTTGATATATCTAAAACGTGTCTAGGTATACGCAGTGTCTCGCGATTTTGCTCTGCTTTTTTGGGCACATAAAACTCATTAATGCCCCCAACCAAGGTGTTCATACCAATGTCATAAATTACGGTGCATGACAGGAAGACGAACCTTTCGTAAAAAGTATTTAGAAAAGCATGTCTTATGATATGAGTAAGATAGGCTCAAAGCCACGGGTTTTTGTTCCTGGTGTTAACACATGCCCTTC